ACACAAGAGGAAGTTATGTATATGGAACAGTCAAATCCTATTTTGGCTAATGTATGGCTCTTTTGGCATTGTACTGGTTTTTGTGTGTGTGTGTGTGTGTGTGTGTGAATCTGATGATAGCTACTGAGGGTAGCTATTTGAAACTGTTGCTTATGATGGCAGGATATCATTCACTGCCATGATTGGTCTAGCGCACCTGTTGCCTGGTTATATAAAGATCATTACATGCATTATGGTCTTAGTAAAGCTCGGGTTGTCTTCACAATTCATAACCTTGAGTTTGGAGCGCACTTTATTGGAAAAGCTGTGAGATACTCAGACAAGGCCACAACTGTAAGTAGTTAAAAATTTCCTAAAACTCTCTCATTTTATCCTTATTTATTTTATTTTAGGATACTTTGCCTTTGTGAATAATAGGAGCAGACCTATCAATGCAAATTATTGGAATTCAAACATTTTCCCTTTTAGTAGGCCCTGGAATCACCTTTCTATGCTCTTCTGTTCTGTCAATTGTTAAATTGAACTGTGATATCAACAATCCAATCCTTTACACATGATGGTTGCTGTTTCTTTTCCTGAAAATTACTGTAATATCAATTGAGTCCTTCATCTCTAATAAACAGGTATCCGACACTTATGCTAAGGAGGTTGCTGGAAATCCTGCAATTGCTCCACATCTCTACAAGTTCCATGGTATAATAAATGGAATTGATCAAGATATCTGGGATCCATACAATGATAAATTCATTCCTGTAAGTAAATAATACTTTCTTTGTTCTATTCGCATTTAACCATTGTAAACTTTTATTAAGGATTTTTTATATATTTCTTGGAGTATTAAGCTGTTTGCCGAATTCTCTGTGTTTGGTACTTGGGCTATATATTAGGATGCTGGTTATACCAGGGTCATCATACGGGAAAACAAAAGAATAATAGTTTGTATCACCAACTTGGGTTATGTTGCTAAGCATTGTGGAATCATAAATTAAATAGTTGGGTACCCTTGAATGTCTCTTTGGAGGCTCAAGATGGAACATATGCTAATCTCTGTGCTTGATTTTAAGTTAGCCACAACTATGTTTGTAACTTTTGATCCCTACTACTCTGAGTACAATTGTGTCTAACGTGTAGAATGCATATCATTCCAGCTATCATATACTTCTGAAAATGTTGTTGAGGGCAAACAAGCTGCCAAGGAAGCCTTGCAACAAAGGCTTGGTCTGAAAACAACCGATCTCCCTGTAGTAGGTATTATTACTCGCTTAACTCACCAGAAAGGAATCCATCTCATCAAGCATGCCATTTGGCGTACCTTGGAACGCAATGGACAGGTTACTTTCATCTCTCTCCCACTTTTTGTGAGTGAATATTAACACAAACACTGTTCTTCATGGGTGTCCTCTCTTTTTGTGAATGAATTATTGTACTTTGAATCCTCATATTGCACAAACACTGTTCTTTAATTCCACTGGATGTTCTCCTAGTAAGACAATCCTCCCTTCTCATTTCCTAGTGTAGGAAAGCAAATTCTAAATTAAAACGGAACTTACGGATTTGCAGGTTGTATTGCTTGGTTCAGCTCCAGATCCGCGGATCCAAAATGATTTTGTAAATTTGGCAAATCAATTACATTCTTCTTATGGTGATCGTGCGCGCCTTTGTTTGACTTATGATGAGCCACTCTCACATTTGGTTTGTTCTTGTGAAAGTTATATTCTGTTTTACTTATTTTTCTATTTTACTTATTTTTCTATTTTACTTATTTTTCTATTATACTGAGTCATTGACCTCTTACATCTTCACTGCCATAATAACAGACTAATTGGATTTTGTTATAGATATACGCTGGTGCTGATTTCATCTTAGTTCCTTCAATTTTTGAGCCATGCGGACTGACACAACTCATAGCAATGAGATACGGTTCTATACCTGTTGTTCGTAAAACTGGAGGTGTGTACATACCTTACCAGTCTTTGATGAGGAGTGTGCTTTAATAGTGTATATACTGTTTTTTGCAATTGATATATGCTCCTAAGTAACCTTGTCACTACGTTATTGGCTTTCCAAAGGAAAGCTTCTAGCTTGCCACTAGACACCACAGTGATATAAAAAATATCTTAACATACTTCGATATTAAGTTTGACTTTCCATTTTAATGTTATTTCTTGGTAGGACTTTACGATACTGTATTTGATGTTGACCATGACAAAGAGAGAGCAGATGCCCAGGGTGTTGAACCAAATGGATTCAACTTTGATGGAGCTGACGCCTCTGGTGTCGATTATGCTCTGAATAGGTGCGTAAGTTTATATTTAGCTGGTGACTGGGAAAACGTAGTGTTTTCTTTAAACAAAAGTTTCAAGAATGTCCCTGTTCCTTTATGGACAATAAATTTGTTCAGTTTGTTCTTTGTGGAGTACTCATAAACGATGTTTTCAGGGCTATCTCTGCTTGGTATGATGGTCGGGATTGGTTCAACTCGTTGTGCAAGACAGTGATGGAGCAAGATTGGTCTTGGAACAAGCCAGCTCTCGACTACATGGAGCTTTATCACGCAGCACGGAAGTGAATATAAGATATCAGATACTCAGAGATGGTTTTGTACAGGTTCAGTGATAGATTTCCATCATTTTTCTCATTCAGTAGCTTAACTAGCTGCATATAGTTCACCAGTTGACACCAGTTGTGGAGCTAAAAATGGTTCATCCATTTTTCTGTTCCATATGTTAATAGGTTAGCTTTGTAGCGTTTTAGCGTATCCTTTGTACTGAGCAATAATTTGTTGATTATAATTAGTTCAATGTACCATAGAAGGTGATTGTGAGAGTAAAGAGAGTTCAGAATACAAAGATCTATAAGTTTGAATTTCTTCTTGTCCTTATATCAAAGACCAAAAAGAAAACTGCGATGTAATTTTATTGCATACTTTTGGAAAATATTTCCAACTAATCTGAAAGACAGTAGGTATAAGTGTATCCCAAAGCTTTCCCATCTCATTATTTTAATTTCTTCAAAACTTAAAATTCGAAAAAGAACCTGCGAGTGAGTGGATCTTCACAGTTCAAGCCTTGAAGCGAATGAGAGCCTCGTTAAAATGATAGTCTTATGACTTGACTGTATATAAAATACTTAGAATTCTATAGTGAGGGCCTAATCTAAAGCTCTTAGATGAGATCCTATCCCTTGATTGTAGGATTAAATTGTTCGCCGTTAATTTAATTCAACGGTTAAGAAATATGGCCTCATCTAAAGGTCTTGGATAAAGCCCTCGCTATAAAATGACTATAAATATATTCAGTGGTTGCTTTAATTTCAACTTGGCTCCAAGACCCCAACTTCATCTCCTCAAAGGGAAAGAGAGGGGGAATAAAACAGGTATGAGCGTGCTTATCGTACAAATGCTTTCAAATCAAGCAGATCCTCTTTGGATGGTAGAAGTTGCATTCTTTCTTCAATCATTGAAAAGCTTCGATAAAAGTCGATTTTTCTCCACTAAATGCCTCTTGCTAGGATTCCATGTATATGATTGTACTCTTGGAATTGTACTCCTAGTGACCAAAAGCAAAATCTGACCTGAGCTCAGCTCTTGTGCCACTAGTTATATTGCCATGCACTGTAATTTGCACGTGACCTTTATTCCAACGTACGTAATCTATCTATATCCTACAATATGTTAATTGCTTGTGTTTGATAATTCAGGAACATGAATTATAGCTTTATAATTGTAGGAAAGAATCAAGAAAACTTGACTTCGGATTAAAGAAAAACTAATTAGTTCGATTACACTAATGAAACGTTAAGAGCCACCAACCACCGCGTCTCATTGTAATTATACTTGTCTGTTTAAGGAGGCTCTTGAACATGTTTATAGAATAATTTCTAATATTTTATAATCGAATTTCCAGCTCAAAAGAAAGAATCATTTTCAGTTGAGACATAGTTAATGATGCCCTTCTCAACAAACTTGAGCAAGAAAGTAACAAAAGAAGTAATGGGAGAAAAAAGTTTTGCTAGGGATATGATCTCATACAAGACATGGCATACACGGGTGACTATCAATCGTCGAAGAGTGCGGATCCTATTGTGGGCTAACGTCCATTGACGATCTCACATGACGACTTTCCTTAGCTTTCCTCTGCTCGAAAAACTTGTCTTGAACTGTCACATACTATATACCATGAAGAAAAAAAAACAGCAAGGATTCATTTTTGGTAAACTTGCTAGCAGAGTAATGATTTGCATTGGCCAAGAAGGCCTAGCTCATATGAGAAGCATCTTCTTTTTTTTTGGTCGTATATGAGAAGCAGCTGAATCACACAAGAGCATGCAATAACTGTTGAAATTGGTGAGAAATAACAAGACCTGTGAAAGTTAGTAGCAACTTTTTAGCTTTTTACCCCCATTAAGTTTAACTTTTTGGGTAGCTTGGCAAAATTGCGAAGCATCAAGAGCCACAAATTTTGTTTGTTGTTTGTGGCGACCCCTGATCAGCAACCAAAGATACCTCTCTCTCTATACTAGTGACTGCATTGAAACATGATGAGGCCTGTGACGAGGGGTAAAGTTGCAAAGTCAGATGTACACATATGAAGGATATGATTGCAACTCTAGGCATGAAATGAAACCATGATGGAATTGATGAGAGAGAGAGAGAGAGAGAGAGAGAGAGATAAAAGAGGAGGCAATTGATCCACACACTTCCCTTTGGTCATTGTCCAACAGATCTTACTTATCTGAGTTTGAGAAGACCGTTCACCTTGGCAACCAGAGTGCCTTTGTTTGCTCCCAAATTCACTTTCTTACTCTCTCTTTCTCTCTTTGCAATAATCCCCAAAAGCCCAGGAAGCATTGAAGAAAGAAGTAAGAAGTGAGAGATATAGAAAAGTAGAGTCGCAGTCAACCAAGTGCTTTTAAGTGCTTTTACTCGTTAAGCACCCCATCCTATGCATCCTTAAAAAGTTGCTTCACACTTTCGAGCTTTTCCTCTGTTGTAACGCCGGATGATAAGTGAGTTGTTCTAGTGAGTAAGTTGAGGATAAGGTTACGGAAATCAGTGAGGTTTTTGGTTTCAGACGGACCAATCCTTCTTCTCCACCTTTCCCAATCAACACCCAGGCTTTTCAGAAGCTCTAAATAATATATTATTATATATATGTAATTTATACTTTTCCCATCATGCATTAAAAAATGCACACACCAACATCAACAACAACAATATATATTTGCATACATATATACATATATATATATATATAACCTCATATCAAGAAGTCTCTCACTACTGACTCTTTTCCCATAGATGGTAAAAATGCCCTGATCATGATAAGTTGGTTTCTGGGTTCGCTCAATACACCTCCTATGTTCCTATTTTGACCCCAAATTTCTCTCTTTTTCTAGTTCTTGTTACTCCTTTCTGTGTGCCTTTGGTGTTTTCTGATAAACCAACCTCACACACACTGACCATTTTCAGGTAAGTTAGAAAGTAGTCCGGGAAGGGAACTGAGATTCTAATAATCATTTTCTTTTGCCTTTTCTTTTCTGTAGCACTGTAGCACTACCTGATAGTAGAGCAGCTAAGCTATCCCATAAAAGTAAAAACTTATTTCTTTCATATATCGTTTTTGTTGTCTTTTTCTTCCTCTGTAATCTGTATGTATCCTGCAGTGTACTGCTGGCTCATTGAAATTTGTGATATTTTTTTGGAGGGATTTAACAGGCCAGGGCCAGGGGAAAGTGCTCTCACAGTCACAAGCTTCTCCTCTCTCCTGGTTGGTTTTTGATGCTGTGAACATTTCAATACCCTCAGAAATCTTTGAAAACCCCTTGTTTCCTTTTGAAGGTAGATTCCTGATATTATTCTCTATTGCACCTTTCTGCTTTTTGCTTCCCAAGAAAAATAAATAAAATTTTATCTCATTACCAACCAAATGTAAATTATTCTCCTCTTATTTATACTCAAAGCAGAGGTCTATTTTTGCTGAGTCTCTTTTTCTCTGTGGTGTGGTTGGCCTTTTGCTCAAAGCACTTCAACTTTTTTATGCTTCAGAGCAACTCCCAATGGCAGATTGGAGGGGTATGATGAGCAAAAGCAGTGGCTTTGGTGGGGGGTCAATGAGAAACAATGAAGATTTTGAAGAAGAAGATGTGTGGGGTGTTGGGAATAATGAGAGGGAAAATTCAAGTCCCAAGATGATGAGGAAGTCTAACAAGGACAGCTCCTCTGCTTCTTCCTCTGCATGGCGCCTCCCTACTGCTCCAAGAATTATCCCAAGGGCTGCTGCTGCTAATACTCCTACCTCCCATGAACCCAAGGTGGTCCAAAAATCAGCTCCTCAGAACATCCCTGATTGGTCAAAAATTTATGGCAAGAGTGCCAAGATTGGTTCTTGGGTTCATGATGATGATGATGGGTATGGTGTCAATGGTGGTCATGTTGCTTATGAGGATGGGGGGCATCATCATGATCATGATGTCAGTGATGATGATGGTGATGTGAATAATGATGATGATGGTATGGTCCCTCCACATGAATGGGTAGCTAGAAAGCTAGCAAGAAGCCAGATTTCATCTTTCTCTGTGTGTGAAGGGATTGGAAGAACACTCAAAGGAAGAGACCTCAGCAAAGTAAGAAATGCTATTTTGACAAAAACTGGTTTCTTAGAGTAATTAATTGCCTTCATCTCATCAGTCCACCATTATTCTATTTCAATTTCAATTTACCATCAAAATCATTGTTAGCCATGAGGGTCCCATGTAATCTTTTTATATTTTGCTTTGTTTAATTCTTCTTCGCAAATATAGTATGTAGTGTGCTGGCTGGGGGTCCACTGAAACTTTTACGTGGGAAGTTCCTAGCTAAAAGAAAACAGAGGTGCCCTTTTAATGGTGTGATTTTTTCCAGTAAAAAAAGAAGATGGAAAAAGTTGAAAAACCATTGGCAGCCTCTGAGATTTTGTATGGTAGCCAAGCCAAGTAACATTTGGTGTTTAATTTAGGTGAATGATGGGTATTTGCAAAGGAGTTGGTAAATCTTCATGCACCCTATCTGCTTTCAGCTGTTGCTTAGTTAAAATTTAGCATTATTTTAATATAGTAAAGTTTTTCGTTCTTGTTTAGAACAAGTGATAATAGAATGTTAGATCAACTGAAAAAGTACAAAGAGAGTCATACAAGTAGCATCATGACGAACATGGATACCCTAAAACTTATCTAGTGACTTGAATTAGCCGAAGAGCTTTTCATTCTAGTTTTGCACTTCTTGTCCTCTTCTTCCTCATGCATTATTATTTTTCTTTAGTTTTGGCCGAACATTTGTTTAATTATTTAACTAGTAAATGAATGCTAAACATGTTACATCATGGAATGGACAAGTTCTCACCCCATTTGCTAAGTTTAAACTGCCATTGCCATTGCCAATGTGGTTGAGGTCTAGAAGAATTTGCTATCCTAGACTTGAGTAATCAAAGAGGCACATGAAATTAAAAAGGGTGTTTAAGGGGTCATATGACTCACATGCATGTTTTAATTAAGGATTAATTGAAATTCATTATAAGTTTATCTTAGGCCTTTGTTCATGATAAAGGTGAGAACAAAATAACGGTTAAAACCGTTATCTAGAGAATGTCTAGCATGCCTAATTGATACAACTCAGGTCATGAACTTAATCTATGTATAATTATCTCGTTTAACCTTTAATCTTGTATGATCAATATTCTTTTTTATCCGAATAAGGGGCCACCAATAATGTACGAAATTCAAGAATAAAATCGCCTTGCTCCATCTTCTTGAACAGATTCTAGTTTCTGTGGAATATTCAGACCACAAAAAAAATAAATAAATAAAGTGTCTGAAAATAAAATAAATTGCTGGCTATTCCCCTTTTGCCGACACATCACACACACACCCATAACTTAACACATCTTTATGAACATCATTTAAATGTTACATACATGGACCGGCCTCCTCTTATTTTGCCTCCCATAATTCGTGATAAGGGTAAATAGATAATGTCTCTTTGACCCTACTAAAATACAAAAACAACAAGGCCACTTTTGGATTTTCACTTTTTGACCCTAATAATTCGTGAAGTTATCTCACTTTGATAAATAAATAAATAAACATCTTGCTTGCTATTTTTTCATGTTGGGCTGTGTTTGGGATCAAGGGGGCATATTGGACCCCAAGTCTTCAATATGCATCAATGGGCCAGGGCCCATTGGATCTGTTTTCTCTTGCAAATTCAATTAAATTCCAAATTAAATAAATAAATAAATAAATCATACTAAAAGAAAAGCTAAAAAACGATTATCAGTTACATGTGTTTCCTTACTTGACTCGAAACGAAACAGCCTTAATATTGAAAAACTGAATAAACGGCACCGACAATAATATTAATAATCAACAGTTGTATATTAAACGGGTTTCCTCATTCTAAATTTTATGAGACAACGTGCCATTTCAACAGACTTCAGCCCGCATGAGAAAATGAAGCTGTTACTGTTGTTGTTATGGTGAGAAGCGTTTTTGTCAAAGGGAGGGACGGTTCAGTAATTTAGAATATAAGAGAGGGCAGTTAGTGGGTCTTCCTCAGTGCACCTCTCTGGTCTCTGTAAGAGAGAGCGAGAGTGTGTGTCAAGCACTGACTCATCAAGAAGGTATCCTCTGTCTTCCAGACTCCAAAGAACTCTTTTTTCTTTTCTTTCTTTTCTGGGTTTTTCAATTGGATTCTATTTCAAATACTTGTTTTTTTTATTTTTTATAAATATTTCTTTGTGTGTAGCAAAAGCAGTGCTGGAACGAAATGTCTTTGAAGAGCAAAGGATGGGGAGGAGAGGTAACAATGAGGAATGTGATGTCAAGGAACTGGGCTTTTCTGCTATGCTTCTGCAGCTTCTGTGCTGGAGTGTTATTTACTAACAGGTAATTTTCTTTGATGGGTTTCTATCTCTTGCTCTAAATTTGCCATTTCTATTTAACTCTTGAGCTTGTTGCAAGTACATTATGCATTTTGGCCAAATGTTTGGAGTCCCGGAATTAATTGGCTTTTGTGGAAGAATCTTGAGGAAACTGTTTTAAATTCTACGTATTTCAGTGGCTAATGATGGCTGCTTAGGTGATTATTCTATGTCCTTGAAATGGGGATCACTAATTGTACTTTCAGAAATTTGAGTTTTTTACTTTTTCTTTCTAGTTTAGTTTGGAGTTTGGTCTAAGTGCTACTTATGCTTGAGTCAATTATATGTGTGATATCACAACTGAAATTAGTGATTTAGTATATGCTTGTCATAATAGTCAAGATTTTTTTTTCATCAGGTTGTGGATGGTGCCTGAATCAAGGCCATCTAGAATTGGAGCTGAAAGGATATATTCAGAACCTGATGGTTGTAATCAGAAGCTTGTAAGTGTATTTATTCTCAGGTCTTCAAGTCTTCAGTTGCATAACGAATAGCTTTTGAAAGTGAGGTCGGGTTTTGATAGCTGAACAAATTCTTTGGTCACGAATCGAAAACTTCAAAGAATAATGCCATTTAGTCATACCATGCGGATAAAGAATTCTGGTCTAGAGTAATTGCAAAAGGAAATCTTTTTAGTCTCACTACATCACGGATCATGTTTTTGAGAAATATATTAGGAGGGATATAATTTCTCAATATAGAAGGGAGGTTTCTATAGTTTCACTGAACTTTGGGAGAGATTTATTTTATTTACTCTTCTTTCTTTCATACTGATATTTTTAGTTTCACTTTGCCATTTAATTATTCCATTAACTTTTTATTAATCCTTTGTCACTGATTTTTTGTTTGTTTTTTGGTAAATATTTTCTCCAACTTTCTGCCTATCTTTGAAGGTTATAAAGCACACGTCCAATGATAGTCCAGGGGAAGCTACTAATCATGTCATTCAGTAAGCTATGCTGATGCTTCTTATAAGAAATGCTCTAGTGTCTTGAGGCACCAAAATGCAAGCTTATTACTATCTATGCATGCAGGGAGCTAAATAAAACAATTTCAAATTTGGAGATGAAATTAGCCGCTTCCAGGGCAACGCATGGATCTGTACATAATGGCTCTCCTATATCAGGAAACTTGAAGACTCTTCAATCAAATTCGAAAAAAAAGTACTTCATGGTTATAGGGATCAATACAGCTTTTAATAGCCGAAAAAGAAGAGATTCCGTACGTGCAACTTGGATGCCACAAGGTGCATTATGCGTTTAGGTTTAATTTAATTGTGATGTTAATGTGCTAATTGAGTTCCTTATTCGAGTTATGATTAATGGTTTCTAGTTGAAAAATATTTACCAGGCGAGGAAAGAAAGAAGCTGGAAGAAGAGAAGGGCATCATCATACGGTTTGTTATAGGTCACAGGTGAGATTTTTGCCATGCCTACTTCAATCCAGCGTCAGTGGCCTAATTGAATATGAATTTCTAAAATATGGACATTTATTGATTTTGCTGTCGTTACTAGTTCGACAGCTGGTGGTATTCTTGATAAAGCTATTGAAGCAGAGGAGCAAGTCAATGGAGACTTGTTGAGGCTGGTGATTTTTTTGTTCATTTTAGTCAGAAATATTATTTTTCTTGGTTTTGCTACAGTGGAATTATTCTTATATCTGGCAGGCCTTTGCAGTTTCTAATACATATACATACTACATATGCAGAACCATGTTGAGGGCTACCTGGAATTATCAGGCAAGACGAAGACCTATTTTTCAACAGCTGTTGCTTTGTGGGATGCTGAATTTTATGTCAAAGTTGATGATGATGTCCATGTAAATTTAGGTAACATAAATTTAAGATTTTGCCCACATCGGCTCATTTCTCAAAAGTTGCTCAGGCTTGCATTAGACCATATATTTGTTTGACAGTATTACTAGCTCAACGTTTCAATTTACCCCTTTTTCAACCTGTTGGTTTACTTTGCGTTTCATTTACCACAGCAACACTTGGAATGATTCTATCTAAACATCGTTTGAAACCCCGAGTCTATATTGGTTGCATGAAGTCAGGTCCAGTCCTTGCTCGAAAGTAAGCAGAGTGGTCTATTATTTTTCAGTTGGATGTATATTTAGATATTGGTGAGCATGGTTTTCATGGTATTTTTATTGTGGAATAGGGGAGTGAAATATCATGAACCAGAGTATTGGAAATTTGGTGAGGTGGGAAACAAGTATTTTCGACATGCTACAGGACAGTTATATGCTATCTCAAAAGATTTGGCAACTTACATATCAATAAACCAGTAAGTTCGTGCTTTGTCTTTATTCTTTGAGCTAAATGAAACTCAAAGCCTTTAATCCTGTTGATTATTGAGTGAGTTGCAATATGAATTAGATACTATTGACTTTGTGCTTCTTGAAAATGCCTTAATCTTTGATTTGATTCTTATTTCCTGATTGTGGAAGGGATGTGCTGCACAAATATGCCAACGAAGATGTTTCCTTGGGATCTTGGTTTATTGGTTTAGACGTAGAACAGGTGGATGATAGGAGACTCTGTTGTGGTACCCCACCAGGTAATTTGAAAATCTTTGACTCTCCTGTAGTAGTTCTCGTTTGAATGATTTGTTTTGCCTATGGTCATTTGAGATATAATAACTTTAGCTTGGGTGTTGCACCTGCAGTATGGGGCAGAGCCTGCCATCTGTCTTTAGTAGGAATTTAAAGCATGAATTCCAGAAGTAGACAAATAGGTAAATTCCTGCTTACATGCATGCTATAGAGTTGATGGTGTACTATGTTCTGCAGATTGTGTGTGGAAGGCTATGACAGGCAACATCTGCGCTGCTTCATTTGATTGGCGATGCAGCGGGATTTGCAGGTCTGTTGAGAGGATAATGGATGTTCACGAACGTTGCGGTGAGGACAAGAATGCTATTTGGAATGCGAGGTTTTCTCAATGAATGGCTGATATTCTTCCAATCTCATGAAGGATGTGCGGATAATCTGGAAAAAACATGCAGATGTTTTTTTGTATTTTGCCATTCCCGCCCAGGCTATGTCTAGGTTGATATAGAGAATGTACGTAATACCAAAAATATAGAATGATTACACAGTTAAGGAAAAGGGATTGCCGTTGGGGGCCATTCTCCGTTGTAGCTCAGGAAATCAACCCCCAATGGCAGCTGGAAAGATGAAGATAGATTTTCTAACAACCCCATTCTTTTGATGGTGGGGGAGCTATATTGTAAGTTCTCTGCCATGGACTAGGCTTCATATTCATAATATGTTTCCGTATATGTTTGTCGTATGCCTTCACTCTCCTTTCCTAGTTACAAATTATTATTATTGTCTTTATTCTGTACATCTAATAATACAACTTCGTTAGACATAGATACTCGCCATTATGGAATTCCCTGATCCAACATCCATCCACATAAACATCACTAGCAAATCGTTAAAATATTTCCACTCCATACACGAAAATCCCTTGCGATGTCAAAAAAATAAATACTAATAAGCTAGCCCATTGATCTCAAGATCAGGAGGATAAACTATAAATAATCAACAGGTCACATCATTCCCACTGTAGCTGAAGGTATCATTCCCACTGTAGGTCATGTGAAGAAATCCATCTTCATCCGTATTTTCCTCATCAATTGCACCCATAGAGGCACCTGTAACATTCATTGAAAGACAAAGGAGAGTTGGGAACGAAGATACTATTATTATATATATGCCTATTTTAAAAAAGGAGTTGCATGCGCATCTCACCCGTGGGAGGTTCAGTGTTTTTGAAGAAGACAAATATAGGTTTTTTTTTCTTTAGAAAGATCCACATCCGAACATAAGCAATAAAATCTCCAAGAAGTGCATCCTTAGGAACAAGGTACCTGCAGTCAGAGAAACAAAATCTTCATTTGAGATAACGTTAATTACCAACACAAATTCAACTTGGAGTTTGACTTTGTAATAATAACGTAAGTACGTCTAAATGCACAAATTGAACACTACATCGTATCTATAATCTATGTAAGCATAAATTGCATGTACACTTTAAAATGCACAACTTTATTTGCAACAAAAACACAACAGCATATATACATCTTCTGTTTTTCCTGAACGATTTCTGAACATATATATATATATATATATATATATCAGAAGAACAAACAAAAAGAGAACATTTCTATTCCATGGTATGGTAGCAATAAATCAAATCAAGATATACTTAAAGTACAAGGGAATTGAATTGGCAACTAACTTCTTCACGTCAATCTCAGCAATATCACTCCTTGCATCCTTCTCCACAGCCACCTGCATGGAAGCTCAAATTAAAACAAAGTATAACCATCGAATGCATCCATACAAAGTATACATATTTAATGTAATGAAATTCTTACTGGTACGCAATCTGGGTTCGTCTCCCTCAAAAGCCAAGGGTCTATATGTTTTTCAGTATTAGCCCTCAGATCCCTGAACATAAATCAAAAGCATAAGCGAAAAAGATATAATCCTATTCCACTGTACCTTAAAAAAAAAAAAAAAAAAAAAAAAAAAAAAAATAAAACAAACACACGGGAATTGCAACTAACTTCCTCTCATCAGAGCCAGGAATTTCACTGCTTGCAGCCTTCTGCACAATCAGATGCATGAGGCTCAAGTTAGAACAGAGTATATATTTCCACTGAATGACATAGCCATAGGCAGTAAAACTACTTAATTCAATGAAATTCTCACCGCATGCTTCCCCACATGCCTCATATTCCAATAGTCTAAAAGTCTAGCTCTAACCGGAGATATTTCTATTGTCGGTTTCCTGAACATAAAAAATAAATAAATGAAAAGGCGAACAATATTCTTGTTCCATTATTGTGGCAATACGAATCAAGAGAATTAAAGCACAAGAGGAATTGGTAGCAAACTTCTTCTTCTTCTTCTTCTTCATCTTATTAATGTCAGGAATGACACGCAGGGAATCAGCAGCGGCAGCATTCTTCACAACCATCTGCATAAAGACTCAAATTTAGAACATAAAATTTCCACTTAATGCCTGCCTAGAAGGAAGTGAACATATCTAGCTGATTCAGTGAAATTCTTACTGGTGCAGGATCTGAATTGTTCTCTTCTGTTTGCATCCTTTCTAAAATATCTGAATTGTCCAAAACCAGCACAAGAAAACAGATGAGAAAGAAACGTTAAACAAAAACAAACCATAATCACCATCAACCGCAGCATTTTGCATGAAAAGAAAAATTCTGCCAGAAAAAAAGGTCGACGTTTTAGAACCCTAAGAGTATTATTCCATCAAACGGAAAAAGTTAAATACAATAATTCACACCAAATAGAATGAAACATCCAAACATATTGAACCAAAGCAAACAAAAAACAAACCCTGACAACATTCGTTCTTGAGAGAGCTTTCTGCCATGTCGCAATTCCAACCTCTGACTCTTCTCTGCAAATAAGCGTGGCTAAGGTATGTCACGAAAAAGTAAGGGTTTAGGGGTTTTGGGAATTGAAGAATTGTTATGTAAGTTTCAATTTTTTTGAGAAAGAATTGATTGGTTGCGAGGGATAGGAAAGAATCATATGTTTACTAAATTTGGTACGCTAAAACTTAACACGTGTACATAACTTGGTCAGCAAGAAGATTAATTATCATATTTACTGATTCTCAGCGAAATTTCCGAAATTTTTTCCTTTTTTAAAAATAAAAAACAAGATTTTAGGAAAATAGTTATTTAAGTTACAAGTGTAAACGGCGTCGCTTTGGTGACTCGGACGGACCCAGAGAGAGTTTGCCTGCGACACGCCGAATCAAGAAGAGATATAGATAGAGAAGACTACAAGTATGGATTTCGTGTTCGAATCGGAAAGGAACCTCCAACAAGTCTCTTCCCCGATACTAAACCCTTAATTTATATCTTGTGTATATATATATACCATTCGTTGCCTCCAATAATTCTGTCCTTCTCTGTTTGATTTTGACCCTCTCTCTTCTTTTCCCAGTCCTCAACCAATCAATTCATCAATCCCCAAAACCATAATCGATTCCCCTTTCGTGTTTGGTATGTTTTTTTCTTTCGTGCAAAACTTAATTCTCAATCGTTTTCTTATCATACTTGTGTTTGCTCTTGTTATACAATTTTTGGGTAAGAGGGACTTTTTGTGCGGTGCGGTTGTGATGTTTCGTTGTTTGAAATTTGCAGAGAACAATCGCAGTGGGAGGTTCGCCATGGACAAAAACTCGTTCAAGCTTGACCATTCTCTGGGTTTGTTTTTTAGCTTTTGGTTAATTACATTATTTGTGCAATACACATATCCCCCTATTTTGGTTGGTTTCTTTTAGTATGTGGTGGTAGTCTTTGATGTCTACTTAATGAACCTGAATAATGGAGGCTGTTTTGCAGATAAAGTTTGCTTTTTTTTTCCTTTTTCTTTTGATAAACAAAAGTTCGGCTTTTTATCCATTGATTGTGTTTGGTATTATTTAAATTTTGGTATTATCCATTGCTTGTTTGCTAGATGGAATTAAGTCGTGGGATTCTAAATAGTCCAACTTTTTTTGGCTAAAGGCTGAATTTTTTGTTTTTCTTCTTTGTGAAAAGATTGTCTGTTTAATTTTTTGAATAATTAGGGCCCGTTTGATAACCTTTTCATTTTTTGTGCTAGATTATAGAAGAAATTGACGGATAATGAAAGCGAGAATGAGATTGAGAGGGGGATGGGATGGAGAAGTAACAAAAACTAAAAATTGAAATCTATTTGAAATTGTTTTCACTATTTTACTACTCCCACCCACCTCCTTTCATCCTCTCTCTCTCAATCTCATCCTCACTCTCATTTTCTCTATACTATAACACAAAAAATGAAAACTAAAAACTAAAATTGAAATGGTTATCAAACGTGCCCTTAGTTTTTTGTTGTCTTTTTTCAAACTTTTGTTTTTCATATGTTTCTGCTCTGATGGTTTGGACTAAACTATTTCAGAAAGGAGACAAGCAGAAGCTGGTCGTATCAGGGAGAAGTATCCTGACAGAATACCGGTAAGAATTTTACTGGATCAAATATGTTTACAGGGGATGCTCTGTTCTAATTTGAGTCTCCATGCAGGTGATTGTGGAGAAGGCTGCAAAGAGCAACATTCCTGACATTGACAAGAAAAAGTTAGTTTCCAATTCCCTTCTGCCTTAATTCTCTTCATATCTATGTTTCTTATATATCCTCTGTATTAGTACATTTTATGTTTGTATAGTGTAAGTTGTTCATTTTGAAGTGCACATGCGATGTGGTGGTCGTAGTCATGTCTATCTGATTTAGAATTGGAACTTTTACCAAAAATGATTTGTGTTGAAGAGCGGTTTGTTTGGCATCTTAAATGAAGTTCTAGGAGTGGTTAGGAATGGTCCTCGTTTGTTTTTGCATGAATTGGTTACCTAAGTAACTAAGTCTTCCTACCAAATATAACATTTGCATACCTGATTGAAAATGTACTTATTAATAGAAAGGAAAACTCCAAGTTCATAGTGTTCATATAGCTTCTCTAAGATCAAAGGGTTCTTAACCGTGTGCTGCTATTTTGTTATTCTCTGCAGATACCTTGTCCCGGCTGATCTGAGTGTTGGACAGTTCGTTTATGTTGTCCGGAAGAGGATCAAGCTCGAGGCAGAAAAGGCTATATTTGTCTTTGTCAAGAATACTCTCCCTCCAACTGGTCAGTTGCAATTCATTTGTTTTTAGTCATAAGATCTTGTTCCAAAGTTGTGGCCTTAATATTTCTTCCTATGTTACAGCTGCTGTGATGTCTACCATTTATGAGGAAAACAAGGATGAAGATGGATTTCTTTACTTGACCTACAGTGGAGAGAATGTCTTTGGTTCCTTTTAAAGCAAGACTGTAAATAGAATTTAGCAAATGTAAATTATTGGCATTAACATGATGATGGAACTAATTTTTATTTTATTTTATTGAATTTCTAGGGATTATAATTTATGGGTTTTAACTAATTTGATAAATTTCCAGTTATCTTTGTTTCTAATGGTCGTTACTTAGGATTGAGATTGTTTTGGATGAATTAGGCATGAAATAAAGTTGCTTGAAACAATGTTCAAAAAAGTTGCCTGAAAAAAGAAAAAGAAATCAGAATCCCGTCCTGGCCTTAAATCAATGGCATAGAGTAAAACACACCCGCCACTTAACAACAAACAATTGACTTCCAGATATATGACGGCTCTGGATACAGTCTATTAAGGTTTGACAATTTAGTTTACTGGTTTAGAGGGTTTTTTTTTCTGGCACTGATTTTTGATCCATTTGATACCATTGGATGTCCCATTTTTGATCTTTTCTGCGCCAGCCATTGCAGCCACCTTGGCTTTGCCTAATCCAGACTTGGTATCTGCCTTCTTGTTGTTGCTGCTGTTTTCTGTGGCTTTGGTGTTGTCTCCATCCTCCAGGGCACCGATGCCACCGGCACCCCATTGGTCGGCCCACCCTGGTGCTTCTGTTGCCATTCTCTCAAAGTCTCCAACCACTCTGTTCCATAAACATGTATAATAATTTAAGGGGGATACAAATTTACCATCACCAACCATCCAAAATGAAAAATGAAATCCATATATCTAAAGTTGATGTCATAGCAACTCAAAGGGAGATCTATAAGTGTTTATATGATTTCAACCAATATGATATGTTAGTGTAGAAAACTCTTAACAGACGAAGGCAAACCACATTCAAAATATGCAGAGACATCTATCTGGTTTTCACATTTTCTTTGATTACCAGTGGAAGATGGATCTGAACTCATCATGGAATCTAAGAGTTTATAGGAAGCTTTTGTATCAAAATCAAAGAAGATTTGCAGGCAAACCGTAACTCCCCACATCATCTTTTATGAAGCAAACAAATAGACAACAACAACAAGAACAATTAACATACCAAGGCTATGCTGGTAGCAAACAAACAGAGGATTTAAAACCTTCGAACAGCAAATCAAGATAGCCATTATTTCACAGAAAGAGAGAGAGAGAGAGAGTACCAGGTTATAGATAGCGTGTAGATTTAGAAAGCTGGTGGAGTTAACCAAAAACACTAGCGAGTTGCAGCTGTATTTAGAGCCCTTTGAAGCTGCTCAATAAAAGAAACAAGGGGCCACATGGGATGGGTGGGCTGTCTGTCACCTTAATATATACACCTTTTTTAAAGGACTTGCCAACTCACTGGTTGGTTTCCATCCAGTGAAGCAAAGCATCGTTTGGCATTTTCCCTTCATTGTGCTATCAACAATCATCACCACCATTTCCATTCTAGATTCCTAGACGTGCAGAGGCATAGGCAGAGAGGCAGAGCATCTTTTTCCTTAACGAACAAGGCATCTCAGTTCTCAACTCAAGACGCATCATCTCATCCTCATAAGCTCTATGGCGCTTCGGGGCACATAGATATCTCAAATGAGCCCCGCAGCACTTTGGGGCACGCAGATACCCCAAATGAGGGGTATTTGCTTTTCTGAGTTTAGCTGGTCAACCAAATGTGCAAATGCTCAATAATTGACTGCTTCAAGTTTAGGATAATGAATTCAAGATGACCAAGTCATTTCTATATCTAATGTGAATTCTTATATCCAACATAATTAATTTGTTTTACCCTTTGGTCGCTGCATTGCCTTCGTATCAGCCAAGCATTCAAGGCCATGGATTTGGCCCATTTGGGTATTATTATGAGTGAAGAAGAATCTTTTGTACCGTGTTTGTATGTCATCACTCCCCTGGCTCCAAGCCTGTCACGGAACTTTCAAAGACAATCGGCGAACCAGTTCTGTCAATCAAGAGACTTGTCTTGTGTGTTGGAGTTGGGCACACAATTGATTAAAAAATGAATACTTCGCAAAGAGAAAAACATGATCAGGTGACTAATTGCTCCAAATAAAACAAAACTATGGGATCAACAATTTTACTAAATCAATACAAAATTAATTGGTATCAAAATCCGTTGGAAAAACATGTTGCTTGATTGTAGCTTCACTTCTGAAGAGAGAGAAAACGGGGTAGGTAGGAGTTCCTTTCATGCGAAATTTCAAGATGTGGTAGAAGTCCGGACGTTGCTTCGCCAAGAATGAGTGAGGGGAGCCCAACCTTCATGGACAAATTGTCTTGGGCTTTGACATTGGAGTGCAGATAAATTGTTGATCAGTTGGAGGGAGCTCATCCACCAGCATTGCTTGTTGCCTGTCCTACCAAACAACACCATAAGGTGAGCTTAGTTGTCCGTAAGTCAATTACCGACAAGAATATCATTTTATATCAAATCAAATATAATAGTTTGGTCTCCTCTGAGTCCTCTCACTCTCTTTCAAGTAAAATTTCCATGTAACGTGTGAAGAAAGATAAATAGAGAAAATTACAACGTAGTACAAATTTCGTGTTGGAAACTTGAAATGTTTTAAGTTTTGCTCTTTATCTTTAGGGTTCTTTATGACTAATGGTCTTCAGAGGAAAGTAAAAGAGTGCTGTCGAGAGAGTACTTTAGTCACCATAACTGTTCTAGTCTGGGGGAACAAATGATTTGAAGACTGAGGCTTGAGTAATTAGTCCACAGAAGACAACACAAAATTGGGGATTAACAACTTTACTAAATCAGTCTACATCATTGGATTGGAGCCCAAACCCAAAAATCTTGTTGCGGCCCGCAACTCTATTAATTAATTAACCAAACTCCATTTAGAAAATGACTGAAGATTAGATTGGCCATATCTACAATCATCTTATATATGCAACTTTCAGAAAAACAAAAAGCACACGAATGTCGTAACTCCTCATCAATCAAAATCTATCTATCTATCTATCTACTAATTTCCATAAATTTCATGGTGTCAAATTCAATTGGGAAGATTACACAAGTCACTTGGATCTCCTGATGGACTTGGATTTCCTCATCTTACGAGACTTGTCCTCGATACTTGTCCACGTATAGCCACTAGGAATGGCAAAAGGGTCGGACGAGTCTTGCGCCGCTGGTGGAGCACCGCGTTGGGGCTGGTGGTTCTGCTTGCTCCCCGACCCCGACTGGCTGCTGCTCCGCCTCAGCCATGACGTTGACGACGACAAGGATGATGGTTTCTGTGACTTGTACTTGTGCTCCTCCTCCTCCTCCTCCTCCTGCTGTAGATGTTGGTGCTGGCCTCGTCCTTCGTGGATAAACTGTCTGGGGCTTGACATTGGAGTGAAGAACTGCTCGGTTGGCGGGAGCTCGACGAACTTAGTGAATGTTATCACCACTCTCACTGTGGGGACAACCGGTATCGCCACCTGTCCGACACCAAACAAAAACCATAAGCTAAGCTACGTTTTTTTCCATAAACTCAAGTACCACATGAATTTTAAATCTACTAGTCTGTTTTGGTCTCCTACACAAATCCACACAATCGGCAGTTAACCGTTAAGACCGGGAACATGCCACGCCAGCTCTCCATGGGTTCAATTGACGTGGCAGAGTCAAGGGTCAAAGAAACTCTATGTTTGGTCATTTGCCTGAAAATGGTTGGTGGTCAGCAAAATAAATGGGCCCACAACCCTGTAAAGATTGGGATTCTCGGGATGGTTCGGGTCTCACTTTTACCACCACCGTCGGATGACGAACCCGACAATCGTAAGCATTACAAGTCAAATCACCGACCAGAGAGGCCCCCAAAAAAAGCTCCAAAACGTATGATATCATCCAATGGTGTGATGAGAAAACGATGAAGCTCTCACTTGTGGGATCCACTAAAGGCGTGAGACTGACTGTATGAGTGAGGCCACAGTTTCTCAATTGTCTCGAAGCTCAAGTCAGCCCTCGTTGCTTAAACAGCTTAAGCCTCTCTCATCAAGCATAAAAAGCACCAAAAAAAGCAAAGCAAAGTACAGACAAAAAAAAAGAAGACCCATGACCCCACACAGGCAATTAAACCCCACCCAATCAAGACTGGGCCCCAATTAGTTCGAAATGTCCAATTTGTCCTTACCTTCACCGGAAAAGATCCTGGCGGGAACTTGGTGGTGAGCAACTCCCTCATCCTCCTCACTGCCTTCACCTTGTTCGCCAAAATGTCGAGTAACGGCAACAGCTCCTCCGTCTTCAGCGGAAACTGCTCCGTTAACCATACAGACGGCCTCAAGCTCCTCACGTACTCTTTCTCTTTAGTCTGCACCGGCGCCGCAGCCATAGGCCTCATCGGCGGAGCTGAAGCCATGGGCCTCATCGGCGGAGCTGAAGCCATGGGCCTCATCGGCGGAGCTGCCGCCATGGGCCTCATCGGCGGAGCTGCCGCCATGGACCTCCTCGGAGGAGCTGCCGCCATGGATCTCCTCGGCGGAGCGGCCATAGACCTCCTTGGCGGCGCCGCCGCGGCCATTGACGATACGTCGACGCTTTTTCTTCCCAATGCCGCGAACTCCCTGTCTTCCCTCACAAAACTACTGTGCCTCCGACCGTCCGGAATTCCAAAGCTTGGATTCTCCGCCACTAAAAACCCATCGTCGTCTTCGTCTAGCTCAAGAGGAAGCACCTGCTCGCTCCCTGCCACGTCAGCATCTCCATTGGCGACTTTTCTAGAGCGGAAGCTGAACAACACGTTGTGAATTTCAAAAACTCTAGCTTTCCACTCTCCGACGCTCTCCGTCTTCTCCTGCCTTCTCCAATTGGTCCTTCCCACGAGCTCGGCTTTGGTCACGTCCATGCCGGGCCGATACACGCTCGTTTGGGAGCAGAAACCGGCAATATCGGACTCACTCATCGGAGACCCTGCGTTCTCGAACGCGTCGAAGATTTTCCGATCGTCGCGATTCAAGACGAGTAACGATCCCGAGGGAACGTCGTGGCTTTGATCGCCGTCGCCGAGGAAAAGGAAGCTCTGATCGGCGCGCTGGATCTTCAGGCCGTCGAAGCCGGCCAACGACGTGTCGGCTCGCAAGTTCCCGTCGCGCTTCCAGATCTTGTACGTATCGGAAGGAGCGATCTTACCGACGAAGGGAATGACCGAGCTTTCGAAGTGGAACGAGATCTCCATGTAAAAGTCTCGCATTCTGCGGAGCACGGCAATGACACGGGGCAGGCGGCGGCGCCACTTGGCCCAAGCGGAGCGATGGTGGAGGCGGAGGAGAATTAGAGCTATGTCGGAGCTCCGGCGACACAAGGCTTCCTGCAGGGGGTTCCAGCCGGCGGAGTTCTGAAGGGAGACGTCAGCGCCAGCGGAGGCAAGTATTTTGGCGGAGACGGCGTCGTTTAGTCGTACAGCGAGGTGGAGGGGCGTTTCTCTGTAGGGGACGTCGCGGCGGTCGAGTACGGCTGAGATCTGGTCGGCGGTTCGTTCATGAGAGAGCGAGTCGGACTCTGTGTGGATCTGAGTGGGATCAGCGAGTCGGGGAAGGGCGGCGACGATTCGGGAGAGAGTGGTGTGGTCTGCTAAAACGACGGCGTAGTGGACCGGGCTGTGGGAATAGTCGTCGGGTTTGAGTGGCGGACACGACGCGGTGGAAGTGGCCGACGATTTGGACATGGTTTGCGTTGGGTGCCTCCTCCGTTACTGCGTGAGGAGAGTAGAGTTCAAGTGTGTTTAATTGGATATGGAAAGGGAAATGGAATGTTATGGGAGAACGAGAAGAGGGCGGAGTGGCAGTTTCGTCATTTGGAGGAATTTGGGTTTCGAAAACCGTACTGCTCAACGGCACGGCTTTTGTTGATTCTAAGCTTCTGGCAAGGGGTCGGGGATATTTCTTTCCATGTAAGTGCTTTTTCCTCCTCCTCCGTTTCTTTTGTTTGGTTTTTTCTGCTCGTCCTTTGAATTTCTGTCTTTTTTCCTTTGTGTTTGATTTGTCTTTTATCATCAAGTTCAACTAAATTACAAATTCACGACATACAGGCTTTTGAAAAAGGGGATTGCAAAATTTATTTTGTTATGCATGAACAGTTACGTTACGTACGTGTGATTTTATATATTTAATCTTCATTAAAAATAAATTATGTTCCTTTGTCTATATTCAAAACTGGGGAATTACAGAATGATTTGTGGGGCCCATTGATGTTGTGCCGGAGAGCGAGTAGTCAAGTCAGCGTCTTAAAGCCTGTATGTCGTGAATTTGTTTGTTGTTGGCACAGAGAGAAGAGAGGAAAGTGGGAGCGTGTTTGGGTGAAGCTGGACCAAATCCAAACGAATTTCACTCTAATCTATGGACACATACGATACAACTGATAAAACTAAAGCAAGCCACCAACCAACTTCGAACTTTTTCTTCTTTTATTTTTGGTTCTAAAAACTATTGTTTAATTTATACGCCAAATATATAGTCGGTGTTTTCAGGCCGCGGTATCAAAATCATTCTACAAATTCAATATTTGGTTATCTTTTTATTTTTAAATAAGTGAAGATAGTCTTTAAAATTAATTTAATCTAGAAAGAGGGAAGTCGAATTTGAGTACAGAGGAGCAGCTTTTGCCATGGCAAATGGCAATGACTATTACTATTCACGTGAATAGTGACAGTCATTGCAAAAAATTGTGGTGTTTTGATGTGAGTAGTGAATAATATAACTAAGTATTTATTATAAATAAAAAAATTTGAAAATTTGAAAATTTTATATAGATTTTTTTATTTTTTATTTTGTTGTTGACATCATCGCTGATGTCAGCAAATCCAGGCTAGAAATCAGGTTGATTCGGCCTGCAGGCTGACCCAGTCTCATGGGACCCACGGCCTGCCAGGGCAAGCTTGGCCCGCTACCCTATCATTGTTTGTGTTTGTCTCAGACTGCCCTGACTTGAGTGCAATATGGCACTTTTACTTGGTCAGAAAGAGTAGATGGCCCGTAAATAGATAATGGGCTGTAGAAGCACTTGATCGTTGATTGGGCTGGTTTTTTTTGTGATGATGATGTTTGGACTCTTTCATAGGGGGTTATTCGTCCTTGAAAGCTAGGATCACTGGGCTCAGTTGGTAAGACAAGGCCATGTAGAGCCCAAAAGACAAAAAGAGATTGAGCCATTTGCGTCAAAAAATCTTTTCTCTATTTACTTCTTGTTGGGTAAAGCAAGCAAGCGTGAAGTGCAGAGAACCTAGTTGCCCTGCCCCTATAAACCAAGAAATATAGTACATGAGTCAGGAATCAGGAGGACCTTCTAGTTCTGAGATAGCAGCCTTTTTTGTCTCATCCACAACAAAATGCCATATTTAGAAAGCTTGAAGAAGAAGGCAAAAATAAAAAGTAACGACAAAAAAAATCGCTAACTAAATGCTCCTCCTTCTGACGAAATTGATTCATAGTTTTAACGGTAAAATAATTACTCTATTATAGAGTTTTAACTCTCGACATTCTTTTATTGGAATTTAATTCTCATTTAATTATAGAAGTTTAACTCTTGACGTTTTCTTATTAGACTTTAATCCTTATTTAATAATTTCAATGATAAATAAAATACTTACATAAAATATAGAGGTTTTTTTTATATATATTATATAGATTTAACTATCGTAATTCGTCTCTCTCTTCGTAAAATTCAGTTATAATTTGATAACTTCAAGAGAAAAATACGTACATATAGTATGGAAGTTTAACTCTCGTACATTCTACATCCTCTTTGCTCACATTAATTCTCAGATTGAAGATTTTAGGGGCAAAGTCCCATTCTTGACGCCGGGGCAACACAAAACTCCAAGGGCATCGCCCCATTGCTGTGGGAGTATTTGACCAGTGTCTATGGCAGATGGTGACTCACATCTTGAAAGTGTTAATAAACTGTAAGACACTTCACTTGAAGTGTTATGAATTGTAGACAAAACTTAACATGTTAACAGCAAAAACATATATTTCCATGAAATAAAAACTCTGGCAAGTAAAGTCGACTCTACCTTTCCTCACCAAAAATGTTAGGTTCCACTTCTACATCCAGCAGCATCTTATATGATTGGATGCAACTCACAAGAAGCAGTGAGTTTAGCCCCACAAATCTCTATCTCTCGCTCTCTCTAAAAGCCAGATCCTTCCATAAATACTTTTATTCAAATATTAAAACATTCTTCCTATATCAGTAAATATACTCAGCTTCAATTCTCTATAGCTTTGCCAATTTTGTTTCTTTCTATTTTACCCGAGGCTGAGGCAACAACGTGTGAGGTGTAGCTAACAACATTCTGCTCACCTACCTCTTTAAAACTCCTTTCCTCTAATCACTTCGACTTGTCGGTCTCTCTCTCTCTCTCTCTCAAAGTTCTATACTTTTCAACACCCACAGAATTTTCTTACACTTTTTTTCACCCACTGACTATACCTTACATTGTATCACACATACAAAGACTCTAGTACAATTTTGTGGGGTCCAAAGCCAGCCACCATTTTCGTCCAATTTGACAATGTGCTACTGGGTTTCATCCAACAAACCCTTCACCAACTACATCCTCTCACATGAGCCTGGATTTGCCTGAGACTCTCTTTTGGGTTTTTGGATTATTCTGGGTTCAGTGAAATTGAGCTTATTCATGGCTGTCAAGGGTGCACCCACTTGGGGTTATGCTAAAACCCCTTGTTCTCATCCAGGCATCTCAGATTTGGGCTCAACTCGTTCTGGGTTGGCTTTCAATTTGAGTTTCCGCAAATGGGAATGTTGTTGTTTGGGTGTTGCTTCGGCTCAGAGAGCTATCACTCCGGTTGAAGATGAAAAGCCAAACTTGACCGGAGCCGAGTCTTCAGGGGCAATTCAACGGATTGAGGACAATGAGTCCAGGGGATTTCACAAGGATATGAACCTTCTTCCTAGTGAGTTGACTCAAAAGCTCTTTCTTTTTTTTTTGCTCAATTCCTTTATGTTAAATTGTCAGTCAGAGACTTGTATGTATACATAGAACGGTCTACTGCGATCCAATGAGCCTATGTTGGGAATGAACAATAGAAATCCGGTAGTTGAAGAACAAAGTTAGCTTATGACTAGTTGTTGGGCAATGTAGAATGATTTGGCTCCTTTACTATGCTTTTGAATATCTACCATCCTTGTAAATTTAGTGGCTTTACTTTCTAAGATGGCCGTTGGTACTGGGGTAAGCATCATGAAGAAGATTTTTGTTCTGCTTTTAGTGCTATACATGACGCCTGTCCGATTGGACAGCAGTAACATGGGTGCATTTAACTAATTTTTCGTGAACCGTACAGATTAGGGATTGAATCAATGAAATTAAGAACTATATACATAAAAATTTATGACAGGACAGCCTGAGGACTTGGAGAATTTCCACTATCACAAGGTTGATCTAAAAATGTAACAGTAAGTGCCTTACTCTTTCAGAGCCAAATCTCTTTACTCTGGAAGATAGGACTCTCAAATAGGCTCTCTGAGAAAAACACAGGACCCAGGTGTATAGCACAAGTCAGGTTATAAAAGTATTGATATTGGTGAAAATACCAATATTCATAATTTCATATTTAAGGAAATATCATGTGGATCGAAACTTCAGTATTTGTAATCTCATATTTAAGGAAATATCGGATATCGATGGGAACTTGGGAAAACTTTACATAAACAACAAAAATGAAAAAAAAAAAAAAAAAAAAAAAAAAAAAAAAAAAAAAAAAAAAAAAACTTAATATGTAAAATGAAGAAATAGAATGAAAAAACATCTTAATTTCATAAAAATCAATAAATCAATTATTAATGAAATTAAGATGTATTTCCACCACTAGAATGTGCAAAAACATCTTGACAATTCATACTAATGCTAAAATCCATCAATATCCCAACGGCTGTGATACCAGTAATATTTTTCCATCCCCTTATCGATATAGGTGGCTTAAAAATACAGAAATATATATGGATATATAGGTATATAGACAGATATTTTCATCTTTGGATTACATCTATTAACCCATGTTCAAGTGGGACCAATCCAACAGGTTGAATTCAAGATGCAGTATAACAATCAGATTTTTTAATTTTGGGGTCATCCAATTATTGAGAAGAATTTTTTTGTTCTAATTTATGGGAATGAGTTGTCTATGCAATTGTTTATTTACCATTTTCAGCGATATTTATATTTGTCGTTGTCTAATGCACTACAATTTTGCTTCATGCCAGTGATCCTTTAGTTTCAGTTTTCTCTTACAATTGTTTCTTTCTTGCATCTCATAGCTTGAATATGAATTAATTGCAGAACCATTGACAGCAAATGACCTTTCTTCTCCTAGGGATGGTTCAAAAGTGAGAGTTGCTTACCAGGTAGATCTTCTCATTATTTGCTTGTATTCCTTTTGGCGGTTATGGATTTCTTTTCGTTCTTATGTTAGTTGTATTTCCCGTTTTAGGGGTTACCGGGGGCATATAGTGAGGACGCTGCACTAAAAGCTTATCCGAAGTGTGAGACCGTCCCATGTGACCAGTTTGAAGCTGCGTTTAAGGTTTGAATAATCTTTTTAAAGAATTTTCCCTTTTTATTATATTTTCCTGTTTGTGTGCCTTGATTGAGTTTATTTTTTTATTTAACAGGCAGTTGAACTTTGGTTAGTGGATAAAGCAGTTCTTCCCATTGAGAATTCTGTTGGTGGAAGCATCCACCGTAATTATGACTTACTCCTTCGCCATAGATTGCACATAGTTGGAGAGGTACAATTGCAAGTGAACCATTGTCTTTTGGGATTACCTGGTGTAACAAAAGAGGAACTAAAACGGGTTTTAAGCCATCCTCAGGTTGGTCTTGCACTTCTTTTTTATTCTTATTTTTATATTTGCATACAAGGAAAGCTGATGAATATTTTGTCTGACCATTTGCAACAATAATTTTGTTGTCCCATTTGCAATTGTCCCAGTTAGGTAATCTTAGGTTCTTAATTGCTTTGTAGCACATCCAAAATAAAAATCTGTAATGATAGCTAATATTTAGGATAGATAGTACCAGTAAGTATGTTAAAAGTTGACAATAACCTTCATGCTTGCTCCAAGAGTGAATTCCACTGGGAATGGCTCAATTTTGGAGCTCCTCCATAATTGGCTTGTCTTGTCCTGTAACCTCTACTAGTAGTTTTTTTGACAACTACCAAATAGTACTAACACATTGTAATTGCTTGCTTAGGTTTGGAACTTGTAACAAAATGGATTATAGGCCTTGACCTAGCACTTTTTAGCCACCTTCTAGTTGGTTTGACTGGGGCAGAAAATTTTAGACTGGAGCTAATTAGTTTTTTACATGGCACACATGCATGCATATATAAGCTAATCTTTGAAATGAAAGACCTAGGTCTTCAAACGTTTTGTTGCGAACATTTTCGCTTGCAGGCTCTTGCTCAATGTGAGATGACGCTAAGCAGTTTGGGAATCGTCAGAATCAATGCTGATGACTCTGCTCTGGCTGCGCAGGTCACCAATACTTGTTTTTTGTATTCTGTCAAAGCACACTGTGATAGGCATTAGGGCTGTTTATATGCTAATGATTAGGACATTCTGTACAGATGGTGGCCTCAACTGGCCTAAGAAATACGGGTGCGGTTGCAAGTGCTCGAGCTGCAAAAATCTATGGGCTTGACATTCTTGCAGAAAAAATTCAAGTATGACTGTTCTTTTAGATTTTTAGAAATTCTTGTTGGGTTTAATATATTGTTAAGTCTCCTTCCCTGTTCGAACAATCAATTTTGTATTGATATGGTACACATCTAGATGGATTGAGAATTCACTTTCTGCTTCTTAAGAAAGCAAAAGATGTACTTACACCAATGTCTCAGCATGCCATGAAGTTAGTTTGGTAGGGTGTCCACAAAGTAATTTCTTCCAAGCATTACATGGAGTTCCACACGTCAAAATTTTCTTGCTTTGAACATTTACAATTTACTAACAAAGGCTGATCTCATACTACAAAGCTGCATCACCCTCTGCAATACTGTTGGATGGATACTTCGGAGTTTTTAGACCTTTTATTGTACCTCTGTTTTCTTTCCTTAAGACAATAGCTGTTGTGGATTACAAATGATGCCACTTCATTTAATATGCTGCCACTTTGCGCTGGCCAGGATGATGACGATAATATTACTCGCTTTCTGATACTTGCTAGAGAACCAATAATTCCAGGGACTGATAGGCCATATAAGGTATAAATCTTTGCTTTGTTTTGTTTTTGGCTTTTATTTTTTCATATCTTTGTATTTGATTAATATTCTGAATATTTATTTGTAAATCTTCTTCATAGACGAGTGTTGTTTTCACTCTTGAAGAAGGTCCCGGTGTACTATTCAAAGCCTTAGCAGTGTTTGCTCTTAGGGGAATTAACTTGACAAAGGTAACCTCAGATAATACCTTCTTTTTTCTTTTATTTTTTTCTATTTCGTTTTCACCACTATATCAATACCTTTGACAATATCTTCTCCTTTTGGAGCAATTTCAGATAGAGAGTCGCCCACAGAGACAACGTCCATTAAGGGTTGTAGATGATTCCAATGAAGGGAGTGCCAAGTGAGTGGTATACTCTTTTACATCAGATGGAAAATATGATAAGTTTTACACATCCACGCAATAAACTAAGCCAGTATCATAGAAACTTTAACATCTTTTTCTTTTAATGTATATTTGACCACAAACAATAAGATTAAGTCAAAGAAATGACTTGTAAATAAATTTTTGCTTAAGTATTTGGTGGAACTACGTACTTATAGAAACCTTAGATTCGCAGTCATGAGATGACTCTAGATTTGGGTAATGTAGATATGCCACAAAAATTCCATTCTACACAATTGATTGATCTGTTTCGCAGGTATTTCGACTACCTCTTTTACATTGATTTTGAAGCTTCTATGGCAGAGCCCCGTGCCCAATATGCTTTGGGACATCTGCAGGTCAGTATTGTGTAATTTAGATACCGAGATCATGCTCTTTATTTTTTGGCTTCTGAAACTTTTATTTGTACTGGAGGTTTTGCCACATGGTGACACACTGATGCTAAAAATTACAGTCTCTTCTTCTCAAACCTCCCCACCCCTCACCTCTAATAAAATAAGAACAAAGGTCACCAGACAGTATAAAGTATAATGGATTGAAGAACTTACTACTTTCTTTTGCAGGAATTTGCAAGATTTCTCCGTGTCCTTGGTAGCTACCCAATGGACACAATTCCATAGAAGTTATAGTTTCTTGGGCGCAATTTAGTATTTCTTTTGGATTGCCAGCCATGCAACACAGATCAAGCTTCAATGTGTATATATCTGATATCGTGGGCGCTGAAGCCGGAAAAGAATACCTTTGTCTCAGTGAGGCTCTTCCAACGAGGAGAAAGTTCCTCTCAAAGCTTCATGTTTCTTTCATTTTGAACTCTCTATCATTCTTTCTATCCTCCGAACGGGGGTGTTTACTGTTTCTGGAATGTCATGATATGTTGATATAAACAGAGGGAGGCACAAGCTTAACCTTGATGGATGTGTGTAGGTGTACCCATGCATAAAAGTTTCGGTTCTGCTTTTTAGGTCCCCACCCCACCCCACCCAAACCAAGTACATGTGTAAACAATAGGCATGATACATGAAAGACTCAAATTTGTGTGTTAAGACAGTTTACTATGCTTTCTGCCTTGTTGACTAGTAATTCTTTCATGGTTTTGCAGTAGTGAATAAAAAGCGAAAGTTAAATTAAATTCTCTAGCTCAATACTACTATCTTGTTATTTTAACAAAACTATAAGAAACGAAAAAAGGGATGACACAAATTTTATTTATCCTTCTTTATGGACGTATCAGAAGAGCAATAGCCCATGGGGTTTATAAAAATCGAGGATATGAATGAGCATCCCAAAAATGACTTTCTTGACTCCAAGGATTTGCGGGCATTCTCCTGCTTCATAATGTTTACTTTTATACTCTTAATAAACTTACTTGCATCCCCATCAAATAATATTTATTTAGTTCATGACTTCATGTTCATGAGGAGGAGGGCGATTTAGCTTAAATAACTTTTGGCCTCTGCTAATACTCCAAAATCACTTTACTAAACCGACGCAATCATAAAATTTTCACAATGATGTCAACCTCGTTTACTACCATTACCATAGTACAACCACGTTAAAACAGACATAGATTAACTTTGACAACCATATTAAAACAGATAGTCGAAGTACCATGTCCTATTAAAATAGACAAACAAAGTACCACGTCCTATTAAAATAGACAAACCAAGTAACACACACAACCATACTGAAACAGGCAATGCCTGGTTGCTAATACAGCATGTGGAATATGTTATTCATATGACATGGACTATCCACAGATACTTTGACTTCATGCGGTTATATTCTTGCTTACTGCAGTTCCTTGAGAAAATCCTCATTGTCAACCAGCACCTACGCGGACGAAAGTCAAAACCACAACATGTTAGATATATTGGCGGAAGGAGGAGACATTATGTGATGATTGATAAATAATAACTGCTAGTGCACTTCAAAAGATGCTGGGGCTTTAATATTTTCAGCTACGGCTCAGTTACATATGACTCCTCTCCCCAAAAGAATACATAAATTGACATTGTAGTTTTTTTATCTATAAAGGGCCAAACAGATGCCATAAAAAAACCCTAAAAAATAACAGAGGATCTGACATATTAATTATGTTCTCTGTCATCTTTGCACTTCGGTGTTCCTTATGTGACTACGTTATATGAGATGTTACTAATAAGAAAATGGTGGATGCAATTTAGACAGCACCTACAAAATCAAACTATTTCTGAGAGAAAGTTAAGCGCCTAATAGCGAACAAGACTCACAGTTTTCCAGCCATCTGGATCCAGAAAAGAAGTGATCTTGGTGTTGAGTCCGGGAATTGGTCCAGGTTGCCTGGTTATCTTTCCTCCAAGTTCTTGTGTAACCAAGTTGACAACCTCGGCACTTTTGTAGACATCATCAGTACCAATAGCAATCTGATGTGGACGATAAAGGATCGGGAACGTGGAATCAGAATTAACAGCTTCCTAGAGTAAAAAAATTGAAGTTGCAAAAGATTCTAAAAGAGAGGAGGACAAATAAACATATTAAATAACCTGCGCATATGCGTTTCCCTTGGTGTATTCAGTCACACCATAGTTATAAGTCAACTCCAAAATGGTTGTCTGGTCTTCCTCTGCATATCCCAGGATGGCTATGTTGTACTGCAAACAAAAGTATGCAACAAGAGAAAATGGGAAAGATTCAATAAGGCCCACTCATATACATGCTGCTAACATAATCATAATGCTTAGTGAGAAGAGGATTAATCACCTTGTATTCAGGCCTCTCAATCGTCCTCAATAGCTTCAAGCCCAAAGCCTGCACACAAGGGAAGCCAAGAAGTAGGACAAGATTAAAAAACAGATCAAGACAATGGATTTGATGAACACAATCACTTGGTTTCAAAGAAGGACAAAGCTGAAGCCTTTCCATGCTAATATAATGTAATAGGAGACTTAAAATCCTAGTGTCTACCAACCCTACTGAAATTGCCACATAAAACATGGCTAATGGTAAAATTCCTTGATAACCCAGATCAAGTTGACATTTTTGTATCCCTAATTTCCTATAGTGGGGGTTAAATTAATTACCTTTTCATAGAACTTGACTGAGCGTTCAAGATCACCAACGCGGAGCATTACTTGACAAAGTGGCTCTGGGGTGGAAGGTCGCTGAATGATCTCAAATGTGTAACCATCTGGGTCCTTCACAAAGGCAATGATGCTGTTCCCACCTTTCACAGGACCAGGCTCCCTCGTCACATTACCACCCTTGGCACGAACCTCTTCAACCAGCTTTTTAACCTACAAACAATTCCACCCACCCATTATGAAAATTCAGAAACAACAAGAAGAACAAAATCCCAATTCCCAATTCCCAGCACCCAAAATCCAATTCCTCTGAAAACTTACATCGGGAGTAGCAATGGCGAAATGTCCAAAACCAGTCCCGATATCATAAGAAGACACTCCATAATTGTAGGTCAACTCGACCACGAAGTGAGACTCTTCAGGCCCAAATCCCAGAAATGCATTCGAGTATTTCTCTTCAGGAATATCCCTCTTCCTCAACAGCTTCATCCCCAGAGCCTCTGTGTAAAACCTGAATTTTTTTCCAAAAATAAAAAAATTAAAATTGAAAACCATGGAAATTGATCAGTGATCACAGATCAGCATGAACAATGTCGTAAAGAAGCGTACTTGATCGTGCGATCGAGATCGCCGACTCGGTACACGGCGTGGAGGAGGCGACGGTTGTCCTTCTTCGGCCATTCCAAAAGCTCAGCGCTTGGAGCAGCCGATTTTGCCTCTGCCTCAGACATTTTCGAGTATCGAGTGTAGTGACTCACAGTGTGCTTGTGCCCTAAAGATTTCCCTGGAGCTGTATTTATATTATTTCTCAAATTCAAACCAACAGCTTGGCCAATCAGAGATGCCTGTTACTCGTGAAATCAATATCACTGTTGCTTTAGCTCGTCGGATAAGGACATTTTACCCGAGGATTTGACACCTGGTTGTCTCTGTATGTCTTCTCCTTCAACGGACATTGAAGATGCTGCGTGGCAACTCGTTGGGATTGAAGTAATGTCTTTTTGTTCGTTACGCGCCCGTTTCTGTTTCGGGCCTTGTTTTAAGGCACAATACATAGTACTAGAACAAAACAGCCATTGCCCCTTTGGATAAATCAATTAACGGTGTTACAATAATGTAACTTTACCTTTCTAGGATATTCCATAAGGACCATAGGTTATGTTGATCAGATCGTACGGTATGTATGTGAATTGATGGGAGGTCTAGAGTGTTCTTAATATCAATTAGGGATGGGAGAAATTCTTGTCTGGTCGAGTCCCCATTTTAAGAAGGTGAGAGTTTGAGAGAAAATTGGGAGCGGATACAAGGATTCTCAAATTTTATAAATCATCGGTCATGCTTGGATTGAGATGTTATTATTAAGTCTATCTTGGGACTAACAAAATTATTTAATATAATATAGCCATGTAGTTGAGTTGAATTTTATTCTTCAATCAAATGTAATTGAGTATAATAGTAATTTAATTTGAAACACAAGTGTTATAATATATGATAAATATTTTTAAATAATTCTTATCAAAATAAGAGCTTAGACCAAGCAGAAGCAGAAGATAAAAACGAAAACGAAGATGGTATTGTCATACTCGAGCATTGTCACCCCTAAATGGACCACATCATGTGTGCAACTTTTAAAAGATTGAGGGCGCTCTGTCACAAACAAAGCTATAAAAGTTGTGGTTCGCAATGAGACACTTTTTGGAGGCTGTTGGCAACATATGGGCAGCCGCGAATCATTTGTGGACATATTTTTGTGCACGTGGACATCTTAGTACTTTTGGTCGAAAGAAGGATTGCTTTCAAGTTCACTCTTTGTGTCAGAGGAAAAGAAGAAAAAAAAAAAAAAAAAAAAAAACTCAGAAGTCATGATAAGGTAATGTTCTTTTCGCTAAGCACTAAAAAAAAAACAAGGTCCACCTGGAGAAATTAATTATGTGAACGTCCGTTAAACAGCCCACCCTAGATTAACAGATAAACAAAGTAGCATGTCCTCTTAATAATAATATAGACAAACAACGCAACAGTAGGCAATGCTGGGGGTTGATGCAGTTATTCTTTCTTGCTGCTCAGCAGTTCCTTGAGAAAATCCTCATTGTCAACCAGTACCTACTAAAGCACTTGAAAGGATCCCCAGAGCCTCCCTATACTTGATCTCCGACGCGGTGCACGGCGTGAAGGAGGCACTATAACTAATGTTGCTTAGCTCAGCTGATAACTACTCAATTGATGGGGGGTCTAGACTCTAGAGCGTTCCTAATATCAATCAAATGCTGCAATTTTAAGATGACGAAGATTGAGTTTTTCAAGTTAAGTTTGTGAGTAGTAATATGTTTTTGTATTTTGCAAGTTTTTCAAGTTAAGTTGCTTATAGAAAGTGGTGATTTGGATCATGGGGTCATCTCGTGTCCTCCTCAATCCAATTCCAAATTCCAATTCAAGTTTAACCGAACTCTCCATCATTCTAAGAGAGCCAAGGGGTGCTGGACCAAACCCAACTATTATTAGTATTACTGTCTGTCTTGGAGAATTGGACCCTACATCCTATCCTATCTATTTGGTATTTCAATGAAGGCCTTGGTTGATTGAAGAAGTATTTTCATAATTTGTACAGGAACTGTTGGCAATTATATTTGGCACTCACGTCTTGTCCTCATTTGCAGACAGACAGAAACGCACCATTAGTGAATATTTAAATATTTTACCGATTCATAAATGACTTAATAAATTCTAATTAATTATTTTGTTGACTTTGTTTTTTTGTTTTTAATATTATATAATAATTAAAACATAATATGTTTAAAGCGTATAGCCGCATGGCTATAATGTCTAAATATTCGAATATATATAAGGAAATATGACAAAAGGGAACTTAGAAAGATAAGCAATCTCTTTGTATCACTTCTCATACACATTCAACACACAAACAAGGAACAAAGCTAGAAATACATACTGTGTCTAATTGATTCATTATCTCAAGGCTCAGCTTTGTTACAGAGAAATCCATATTTTTAATGTTCATTTAAAGAGTATAGCCGCCCGGCTATACACTATAAATACAAGATTTCAAAGGTATAGCCGCGCGGCTATACGATACTCGCTTAAACAAGCTGAACTATATATGTTTTATGTATGTGCAGTGGCACATCTGCTCGCTGAATGGTTAAACGGCAATGGGTTGCCGTTGAGCTTCAATCCTAATTTCTTCCTTCTTTTTTCTTATAAATTTTTTGAATTTTTTATTGAGTTCATCTGTTCTGTACTGGTAGTGGCTAAGTAGTCATTAACATGATTTGTTTCCAGCTCTGGTGTGTCCATCTCTTCTTCTCGTAGCTTTATCAAAGATTCACTTCCTCCTCCTTTTTCTTCTGCGCTAAAAGCTTGAAGTATTTCTTCTGCCTGAAACAGAGCCCCATTTTTATGTTCTTCCTGTTGTCCATCTCCGTCGTCATCTTCTTCTTCTTCTTGTATAGTTGGCGATTCCCCTTCATCTTCACCAGCAGCATAAGCGATGGCGTCATGATCCAGAGACTCATCCTTGGATTCATGATTATTAATAGAGGTGGTGCTGCAACTTGAACTGCAAAGTCTAGGACTAGGCACAGAGATTGCTTAGTTTATGGGTCCACCTCCACCTTACCTATATTTATGTAAATAGTATATAGTATGGGGCAGCAACATTTTCTATATGGTCATATTGTTTAAATATAATGTAAGCTTGGTGAGGTAGGATTACGAATATAATCATCATCACGGATTCACGGAACGGATGATCAAGTGACATAAATTCATTGGACAGCTAGCTTTTAAAAAGGAGATAGCTATATAGATAATAGACAGAGAAGTTTGACCAGGATCTTCTTGACAAAACACCTTAATTTGCAAGAATAATCATGCCTTCCAATTACGGGTTCATCAAAACATCCCCCATTTAATTAGGAAATGGAAATACATTGCGCTTGGCAATGGCATTATGGCAAGCCGATGTTAATGAGGAAACTGACATTATTAATTGATTAATTATTGTATAATTTGAGGAGCCAATCTCTCGCACTCAAATGCATGTACAGAGTACAGACATGATGTATTCACTTCACTTGTACATCTGTTAATTGGTTGGTCACAGCAAAAATAAGTGAGGAAGGCAAGGCATACATATATAATATATATAATATATTAATTAATTGTCGAAGGAATCATGACCATTGTCTCCCCCTGTGAAGTCTTTGAGTTGGGTTTCTTCAAGCCAGGCAATATTTCAGGCTGGTACTTGGGCATATATATGGTACAAAAATGTCCAAAACAGAACAGTTGTTTGGGTGACCAACATAGACACCCCACTTTCAAATTCATCAGGAGCTCTTTTGATGAGTGGTGAACATGGAAACATTGTCCTTCTTGATCCATCTGGAAATGTCACTTGGTCCTCCAATCACACCCAAGTTTCGAGACCAAATGTCCTGCTTTTGGATATAGGCAATCTTGTGATCAAAGAAGGAACCGAAAACAGCCAAACATATTTCTGGCAGAGCTTTGATTATCCCACACACATTCTGCTTCCAGCTATGAAGCTCGGATGGAAGTTGAGCACATGTTTAAACAGGTACTTGACCTCGTGGAAAAGATCAGAGGACCCATCAACAGGGGGCTTTTCTATCAAACTAGATCACCATGGCTTCCCTGAGATTTTCCTTTGGGACATGAGGGTATATGCTGATGGTGGCCAAGATCTCAATGTTCTAGGCGGGGGCTAGGCGGGCTAGGCGGGCTAGGCTGGGGCTAGGCTCGCTAGGCGGTGGCTAGGCGGCCTCTAGGCGGTCTAGGCGGGCGACATGAGGGTATATGGCGGGGGCTAGGCTCGCTAGGCGGGCTAGGCGGGCTCTAGGCGGTCTAGGCGGCCGCTAGGCGGTCTAGGCGGGCGGGCTAGGCGGGCGCTGCGCATAGAAAAACAAAGAAGCCATTTTGGAATCTCCAAGGTCAGGCAAGAGATCACGATGGTGCTATGAGCGAGAGACAGAGAGATGAGGATTGAAGAAGAAGTCTGAGAGAGAAGAGGGGCTGGAAGACGGCTCTTGTTAGAGTTAGGGTTTGAGAAGGAAAATTGCATTTATATGTTGAAGAAAAAAAAAAACAAAAGAAGAGATGGGCCCCCGATTACTCCTCATTCTGAAACCCCTTTTATTTTCTCTCTTCTGTATGCAGTGCAGGTGCCAAAGACTGGAAAAGGCAAGAATAAAGGCTCAACCCGTTAACAAGGAAGGATATTTTATCATCAGCAAGATGTTTCTCCATGGGGATTCGGTTATCATTGTTCTTAGGAGTATTAAGTGAGGTGTATTGTATGTAGCTTTGACAATTCCAATAGACTTGTACAAGTAGAGTTCATGCTGAAGATTTATATGCACTGAAGTTGGGAGCTTTTATATGCAGTTTTTTAAATTAAAGCAACTTTCAAGTGTTGTATATTTCTTTGGATTTGTTTGTGAATTTCAGTTTACTCGTATTGAATGCACTTTTTAGTCGTATAGTTCTTGAACAAAACTTAACTCGTTTGAATCTGTTGGTGAATTCAATTGATAGGTATTTGCGCTTCACCATATATAAGTAGTAATCTTAATTTACCTTGTGCAAGACTTGGTGAAATTATATAGTGGTAAGGTATCACCACGTAAACTGATGATATACTTTTTAGGAAATGTGTCTTTCTTACTATTATAACCGAAATTATATACTTTCTTTTGAAAGGAACAATGACAATACATTGTCCCATTAACTATACAAAAGATCATATAGCTTTTTTAGGAACAAAAATAATTTAAATTTGACATCTTGTACCTTAATTACATTATTGACACAAAGATTATCTGAAGAAATTCCATATTCTGGGTATCGAAGTGGAATCGTTGGTGACAAATCTAAATCTATAACAACAAAAAATAGTTCTATATATGGGTTAGCTAATGTTGGGACTTTAGTCTGAATCACGAGCGCTCTGCATCATGCAAAAGGTGTCTCAATACAGCAAGCCAAAATCTTGGCGAGCGTTGTCGTCTTAGTCGAGGAGCTATAATATGGATGGTTGGTTGCATCCTAAAATACTCAGACACAAAATTCTTTGGTATAATCGACAAGGACAACATGGTGTTTGGGAAAAATCCTCAATGATCTGTTCCTAATTCCAAGTTATTTCCAATGGCACTAGATCATTTGTTAAATTGATTAACTTCTGAAATTGTTTCCGGACAATTTGTATGCTACTGGAAGCATTCAGGTGACAAAGAGGAATAAAAGGACAAAAAGGATTGATCTTTATAGTTTCGGTCGAGTGTACTAGAGACTTGTCACATGAAGATTGCAAGAAGTGCCTTCACGTTGCAATAAACGAACTTCAAGGTTATAGTCAAAGAATGAGTGGTGGACGTGCTATTTATGGGAGTTGTTATGTCAGATTGAATTTTACATCTAATACTAAAATTTGTTTCTTTCAAATGGAGGTATTTATGAATAAGTAAAAAAGATGTGTTAACCTTAAAAGAGATAAAATATTAAATAAATCTCAACTTCAATAGGACTAAATAAATGGGTGTGTAGGATTACATAAACGGGTAAGTACCTAAATAAACTCCCCAACACCAAATGGACAAAAATTAAGATTTATATATATATATATATAGACAATCTTAAGGTTTGTTTGATAACCATTTCATTTTCACTATTTTTGAAACTCATACTTTTGAAAAAGAAAAGATATTTGGTAACATATTTTGTTTTCCGTTTTCAAAAAAGTGAAATCAAGTTATCAAAATTACCCTTATTTTTAAAAACAATTTGAAAGTGGTTTTAGTTTTCAATTTTCGTGCGCTCTTTTTCACTCATCAATTTGACATAACCAAGCATGGAATGCATTCGAGGTACCAAAACTCAGTATTTGGGACCACCTTTAACTACTTTAATTACTTTAATTAGTAGTTATGTTTTAATTATTATTTACCTAGTGAATAATTAGTATTTAAATATTTTATCAAAGAAAAAATTTTAAAAAATTAAATACTATTTATTAAGTAACATAATTTGTAAAGTTAATTAAAATAATTAATACTAATTATTCACTAAAGAAATAATAATTAAAATGTAATTACTAATGAACGTAATTATATAAGGCTAAGTAAGATATGATTTAATTAATAAAAAGAAAGTTTTTTTTGTAACAAAAAAAAAAATCTATTGACTTAAAGATACTAAGTATATTATTTCTTTTTAAAATAAACCTCTTCCGAAGAAATTTTTTCGGGAGAGGTCTAATCCGGCAAATATAAATTCATATTTTTATTGTTGGTGCAATGTGGAATTATCTTTAAAGGATAGAATATTTCAACAGTATAGTTGTAGGGCTATACTCTACAAATAAAATATTTCAATAGTATAGTCGAGCGGCAATACTTGATAAATAGAAATTTTCAATAGTATATAGCAGCTGGGCCATACTCTCTAAATAGAAATTTCAAACGTATAGCCGCCCGGCTATACCGGTAAATAGAAATTTCGAACGTATAGCTGCGCGGCTATACTATGTAAATAGAGTATTTCAATAAATTTTCAAAGAATGTAAATAGAGTATTTCAATTAATATTTCAACTGTATATGCTTAACTACAAAGACATAATAACCTTCACTCCATCATACCATCTTCATTACTAAATTTATTCAATTATAAAATTACTAAGCTATTCCAAATATGATTCATTCCACCCACTCCCAAGCTCATTCACGTTTGTTTACATTAACCCAAGCAAATCCTGAACTGAAACATCCTGTTCATATACTTGAAGAAGTGTTGGCACTGCACTAACCTGAGAGAAGATGAAATCCATTCCCTAAGGGTTCGAGCATTCAACATAGTTTCGGCTGTTGTAAAGGTCTTCGAAACTACCACAAGTGCAAATATCAAAAGAATATGAATGAACGATAAGAAACCCCACGTAGAGCTTATATTACAAAAGTCAATATGTAGTGATATAACTAAACTTAATGCTTATCAAGGGTAGTTTCTGGGTTTAACTCTGCAATATTTCGGGCAACTTCAAGCACCACAACTACAACCAACACACAGAATACAGATGGTGGCCAAGATCTCTACGTTCTAGGCGGGGCTAGGCGGGCTAGGCTGGGGCAAGGGTCGCTAGGCGGTCTAGGCGGGCGACATGAGGGTATATGCAGATGGTGGCCAAGATCTCTGTGTTCTGGGCGGGGGCTAGGCGGGCTAGGTTGGGGCTAGGCGGTCACTAGGCGGGCTAGGCGGCCTCTAGGCGGTCTAGGCGGTCTAGGCGGGGGCTAGGCGGTCTAGGCGGGCGGTCTAGGCGGGCGCTGCGCATAGGAAAAAAAAACGCCATTTTGGAATCTCCAAGGTCAGGGAAGAGATCACGATGGTGAGACAGAGATATGAGGATTGAAGAAGAAGTCTGAGCGAGAGAGAGGGGCTGGAAGACGGCTCTTGTTAGAGTTAGGGTTTGAGAAGGAAAATTGCATTTATATGTTGAAGGAAAAAAAAAACCAAAAGAAGAGATGGGCCCCCGATTACTCCTCATTCTTAAACCCCTTTTATTTTTCTCTCTTCTGTTTTGTTCCACTATTCGGTTCTGTCTTCTTTTATGTTGGTTGGTAGATCTTCATCAATCATCAAAGTTCTTTTTTCTCGTGATCTTTTTTTTTCTTTTTTCTTTTTTTCTTTTTGTGTGTGTGTGTGTGTGTGTGTGTATGCAGTGCAGGTGCCAAAGACTGGAAACGGCAAGAAAAAAGGCTCAACCCCTTAACAAGGAAGGATAGATTATCATCAGCAAGATGTTTCTCCGTGGGGATTCAGTTATCATTGTTCTTAGGAGTATTAAGTGAGGTGTATTGTATGTAGCTTCGAATAATTATACAGAGAATGCATCTAACATAGTCCCTGAATATGGGCTATGTTTCTTCAAGCACCACAACTACAACCAACACACAGAATACAGATTGCTTTAAAAAATAAACACAAAGAAAATTTGAAAGCATGCCATGTCCTAAAATCCTATGTGCTGTATCAAATACAAAATGCCTCTCTATATGTCTTTAACAGATGAATGCATACCTCCTTCAAGAACTATGCCACTGAAATAAACTCATGAACACAGACAATCTCATTGTTCCAATCAGGTAGGTCCTAAAATGAAGGAGCTGAAAGAAAATATTAAAGTTCGAACTTACGCCCTCATCTTGGAAGGACTTGTTCCATCAGCACCACCAACTATTGATCTTGACATCTGATGTAAATCTATCAGAAATAAATGAACAAAATATAACTTAATCAGAGCTAACTTGGTCTTAGAATGGTAGGTTTTAATAAAATTTCTCAAGATGCAACACAAATGTTTCAGAAATGAGTACAGCTATGTTTAACATCAGATATAGCAGATGAGGATAATTATAAATGACACACAAATTAAGTGTTATGTTTGTTTTAGGTGAACCTGGAGATGCTACTAAGGTTGAATCCCATACTCAAACTCATACAGATCGGACTATGGGAGATCTAACAAGACATGGTAGCATTGAAATTGAATGAAAATATGGAAAAATGGGTACAAGTACTCAACCAATGGATTTCCCTGTCCCCATCCGTTTCATGTTCATGCATTCTTTAGCTCATGTCCTGAAGATAACACATAAAACAACAAAAGTGGATACTCACGGAATGTAAACAAGTAGCTCAAGATCACCCTCATTGCTCTCCAAGTGTTCCTGTGGCAGAAAGTAGGATCAGATGGGCTTCATATGACTAGTAATTGGAACATAAATTAAAACCAAAATATATGCATGGTAAACCTGAACTGAATCTCAACCAATGATTCAGTAATTCCTTGGCCGAATATGAGGGTTTTTCCTCTTCTACAGCAACTGTATTATCTTGCATCTCTCTGGGAGTTTTTGATTTACTCTTCTTGCCCATCTTATGGATCCAAAAGCTGCATTTCACCCAGATTACATTACTGAGAATTGACAAAAATGTATTTGCAGAGATGCTAGACTCGCCAGGAAAAAAGAAATCTGAAGGAGAAAAAAAAAGCCATTCAAGTTTTTGAAAAATCGGGCGCCTATGCAGGCTAGGTGGTTTTTTTTTCTCTAGAGTTGATGCCATTTTGGAGTTAGCATCAAATGGCATTCGTTTTCTCTGTAAATGGCCACAGGACCTTAATTCTTGTTGAGTGGTATAGAATGACATGCTTTATAATTCTTTCCTATTAGATTTCTCCTCTCTTTCTTTCGAAATTGAAATCGGAGTGATAGTTGGTCATTTGATTCTGATGATATTGGTTGAATGCAAGCAACTCCCAAGGTTCACCCTAATTTACGGAAACCAAGGAGTGGCTTAGACCCGATGAACAATGACCTTCCCAGCACCAACCTTGAAGACTCTATATCCTGCTTTGATTTTTCCAAGAATGATTCATGTCTCATATCAGCAACAGGAGGGATGATCTCCATTTTTGACATGATGAAAACGTTTAAGGTAAACCCAACACAAATAGTATTCTTGAAATTTTCTTTTCCCAGCCAAAACTTCCCAAATCTTGTTTGTCAATATGCTTAGGTTCTGTTTGCAAATTTCTCATGATCTAACTCATTGTACTCATACAAATCTGTTGCGTAAAAATGCAGACGATGAAGAAAGTCATGCCACCGCCACTGCGGCAACATGTCTTGCTTTTCACCCCCGAGATGACAGTATAGTTGCCATTGGCATGGACAATTCCACCATTGTAATATATACAATCTCCACTCAGACGAGGTAGTTTGTTTGTTCTTGTAAAAAAAAAAAAAAACAAATCATGCTCAATGTTGTGATGAATCAAACCCGAAAAGAGTCATTGCCTTGATTTATATATTTTGCGGGTTACAAGGAAGCTTGAGGGTCACGCCAAAAGAGTCACTAGCCTTGCCTTCTCAAACACACTGAATGTACTAGTTTCTTCTGGTGCTGATGCACATTGGAAACTACAATATTACTTTCAGACATGGCTTCTACTCTAATGTGACTTCTGTTATTTAACGATCAACGTCGTTTTGTCCCTGCGGATTTATGCGTGGGGTGCTACTGGGTGTGAAAAACACAGAAGCAAATTGTTGCAGATTCCAGATGGGAAGGAGTTGAAATCATTGTCATATACTTACATCCAAATTCACGAGAATGAGCTGCACCTCATTGCCATAAACAAGACTCACCTTGCAGTGTATGAAGTGAGAGAACTAGCATGTGTTTAGGGGGAGGGGAGGCTACCCCATCCCAAGGTCAGGGCATACCAAGGCCTCTTTGAGGAACTATTTGGCTTTTTTAATTCTTCACTTTGGGATTAAAAACACAAGGCGCCCAAGAAGGGATCAGGCCACTCAATGCTTCATTTATTTTTTTTTTTTTTTTTTTTTTTATATAAAGATGTAGTCACCGCCCCTTCACAAGTATATGATACTAACCTATACAAATTGTGTATCAATTTTTACTTTGCCTTGCATTGCAAATGCTCAAAAAGAGCCTGCATATTTACCATTGATTTCAAGAAAGATAATTAAGGTTCTTTTTGAAAATTCTGCAAGAGCTAAGTATTCTTCAAGTGGTCACACTATCTCTAGGAGGTTTTCCCTTAGGAATGACGGTCCGGTAGTTGTGGCATCACAAATGTAAAACAGAGATTAGAGGCCTGCCACCTTTTTGGCTTTGACCGGCAATATTATCATCTCCTGATTCACTTTTATATGTGTTGTTGCATAAGGAACCTGTTGTGTCAAACTTTTCACATGGGCACTTTACCATCCTCGCCAAAACAAAACTGAGCATGGCACATCATTGTGCTGTGGTGTTTTTGTATGCCTTCCAAATTCTCCTTTGCATAGAGAAAACGAACCATCAACGTAACCAGCAAAGGAGATAAAAGATCAAGAGTCCTGAAAATTCCAAGAAATGGATCTCCTTGTAGAAAGGTCCTACTGCTGAAGCTGCAAAATGCATACATCATGTGATTAACTTGCATATCAGATGTAAATATCAAATAATTTGGCATGCAAAGCAAGGCAAAAAGTAAATGAAATCAGCAGAAGACAAGGTCCATGGATGCATCTAACGAAACATTAGCTTATTTGTTTTGGTTGTCAAATGGCTACAGCATTCCTAAGTTATTACATACATTTGGCTCTTTACATATCAGGTCAGTATTAAAATTCCATTACTGATTTCGGTTCATCATCATATCACATTAGTCCCACCAGTTTTAACTCAAAGTTTATTCTCAAGTCTCCACTAAGGTTGCACCAAATTTCAGTTTGTATATTTGTTTATCCAAAAGGATCCCAAATCTGCTTCAAATATTTGTTTTGTAGACAAGTTCATATAATTCCAAATGTATATACTTGTATAAAATACCTATGTAATTTGAATATGAACTGTATGCCATACGACTAATTGCATTGAAAAGCCAATCAAAGGATTTAGTAGAAATAACCAGATTCAAAATTAAATCTTGCTAAACCTCAAACAGTATTTCTTTGGTCTATAGGATTAACTTCTCGTAACCGGCATTAGTAAAGCAGGGAAATTTCTACTCTTATCAAACTCATGAGATCAGAAGTCACATAAACTGACTACCAACACCTCAACTACAGAGGGACCTATTTTCAATTAAGAAAAACCTATATTGCCAAAAGACAAAATTATGAATAAAGACATGCTTAATATTTTATTAACACATCAAAGAATCATTATAAACTCTATCTCTGAGCCTGCATTCTATATGAATAACTAACACTGCCAAAACCATAAAAAACAAACAACATAATGCATTAAGTCACCAAACATACATGCCAGCTAAAAAACAGGAGAAAAAAAAAGAGAGAGTAAATCTTACTGCTTGTAACTTAGATTTCTCGTCTCTTTCCTTTCAAATTTCTCAAGATGCAACACAAATGTTTCAGAAATGAGTACAGCTATGTTTAACATCAGATATGGCATATGAGCACAAGAACAAAAGATAATTATAAATGACTCACAAATTAAGTGTTATGTTTGTTTTAGGTGAACCTGGAGATGCTACTAAGGTTGAAACTTGAATCCCATACTCAAACTCATACAAATCCGACTATGGAGAACTAACAAGACATGTTACCTCTCAAATTGAATGAAAATATGGAAAAATGGGTATAACACTAGTCAAACAATGGATCTCCCTGTCCCCATCCATTTCATGTTTATGCATTCTTTAACTCATGTCCTGAAGATAACACATAAAACAACAAAAGTGGATACTCACAGAATGTAAACAAGTAGCTCAGGATCACCCTCATTGCTCTCCAAGTGTTCCTGTTGCAGAAAGTAGGATCAGATGAGGCTTAATATGCCTAGTAATTGAAACATAAATTAAAACCAAAATATATGCATGGTAAACCTGAACTGATCTCAACCAATGTTCAACAATTTCTTGGCCGAAGATGAGAGTTTTTCCTCTTCTACAGCAGCTGTACTATCTTGCTTCTCTCTGGGAATTTTTGATTTACTCTTTTTGCCCATCTTATGGATCCAAAAGCTGCATTTCACCCAGATTACATTACTGAGAATTGACAAAGATGAAATTTAAAAAGAAAAAATTCAAAAGAAGAGATGACTCAACAATTAGAGCCCCAGAAAGCAGCATACTCCTTTTGGGTCAGTTTGTAAAGAATCAAAACAACTTGAGGAACATGAAACTGAATATTTAGGTAAGAGAATATTTGTTCATCATCAGCTTCCTAGCAACCAAACATAACATAAACCAAAACAGAAAATGGAAAATACTTATTTTCAATTGCAATTTCTCAGCTTCTCATTAACTTTGTCTCTGGCAATTCAGATATCAAGGCTGGTCTACACAAACGGAGGTGATGCCATTTTGGTGTTAATTAGCATTCATTCATTTTCTCTGGAAATGGCCACAGGACCTTAATTCTAGTGGAGTGGTAAAGAATGACATGCTTTATAATTCTTTCCTATTAGATTTCTCCTCCATTTCCTTTCGAATTGAAACCGAAGTGACAGTTTGTCATTTGATTCTGATGATGTTGATTGAATCCAGGCAACTCCCAAGGTTCACCCTAATTAATGGAAACCAAGGAGTGGCTTAGAGCTGATGAACAATGACCTTCCCAGCACCAACTCTGAAGAAGAGGCCATGTCCTGCTTTGATTTGTCCAAGAATGATTCATATCTCATATCACCAACAAGAGGGATGATCTCCATTTTTGAGTATTTGCAGAGATGACAGACCCGCTCGGAAAAAAGAAATCTTTTATATAAAACAAACGACATTCAAGTTTTCGAAAAGTAGGCCGCCTAGGCGGGCTAGGCGGGTTCTTTTTTTAATTTTATTTTAATAAACAGTATAGCCGTGCGGCTATACCCTTTAAATATATTATTTATTTAAACAGTACCGCCGTGCGGCTGTACGCCATGAATAATATATTTAAAGAGTAAAGCCGACCGGCTGTACTTTTTTTAAAAAATTTATATTTTCTGTGATTTTCCTTTATCAATAAGAGTAGTTTAGAACATTATCCATTACTATTATGCCATACCCGAGTCTTTATTGTCCCCTTTTGACTTTTTTACTTATTACCCATAGAAATAATTTAGCATTTTCCCATTCAATACTTGTATTATATACGTAAGTATGTATTTTTCAATAATACTTTTGTTTTCTGTACACGTCTTAAAGACTCGGTAAAATACATATATATTTTTTTAAAAGCAAACATACAATATATGTATTGTACATGTACATATATATTATTCATGTTTAATACACAAGTTTTTTTACAAAATTTTCAATAATACACAAAATTTTCACATATTATTGAATAAAAAAAATATATATATTAAAATATTATATAGTTGCCGAATTTTTTAGTTGTAACTTGCTAAAAAAATTTCGAATAAATCACGTACGTATTTTTCCCATTCCGTATTTTACTAACTATGAAAGAATGTGAGAGGCTAAGATTATTTCTCTTTGTAACAATAATGCAAGACAGTGAACTTTCGAAATCTCTTTGCCAGCCAGAACAACAATTTCAAACAAAGATGTATGAGTATAGTAGTAAGAGGTGGTAGTATTCTTTTTGTAAAAAAAAATATAGAACAAGAGATTAGGTGAGATTAGCTCTTCAGTATCGGTCATCGAATGCACAAACATCCACAACCCTCAAAGAAGGGACCAACACATTTCGAGAGCCCCCGCCCATCCCCTTGATCATAATTTCATTAATATAAAAGAAACATACAAAGAAAACACGTACAGCAGGGGGACCAAACCAAAACCCTGCAGAAAAGAAAGACAGTGACATAAAGGCACAGCAACATGCGGACCCAAAAAACCAAAACTTTGAAGGAGTAAACAAAAAGAGACTAAGTAAAACAGTAACTGGCATGCCCAGCTGGTCCCGATGACGAAGACAAAATAAATGAAGGTGCAATGTCCCACCACGTGAACCCAGAGCCCTGAACATCGTGATTTGCCAAAGTGTCAACTCTATGATTACCCTTGCGAAATATATGAGAAATCTTAAACAACATGTACTGGAGACGATGCAAGCAATTCTGCCAATCAAATCGCAAGTGCCAAGGGAACAAATGAGGAGAGCAAAAGAATTGAGTAACTAATAACGAATCAGTTTCAATCCAAACATTATGCCAAGCATGAAGCCAAGCAAGCTTAATGGCCTTGATGACATCTAAAACTTCAACATGTACTGCACTAGGGACATCTAAATTGGAGCAAAATGCCCTATGTACACAACCATGATAATCTCGAAACACACCACCACTACCTACTTTACCAAAGTCACTTTTGCGAGTGCCATCAGTATTAATTTTGACCGAACCAAAGCAAGGGGGATGCCACGTAACCTCAATAATTTTGGGATTAGGGCTGGGTCTACAGCGCACCCCAAAGGAACGAATAGTACACAAGTCACACACATTGTTCGACATATGACCCTTGGCAAAAGTACTAGAGGCACGCACATGATAAATGGTACAACAAGCAAAATAAACTGTAGAAACCTTTAAGTAGAATATTTTATAAGTATAGCCGCCCGGCTATACTCTTTAAACAACAAACTTTGGATTTCTCTTTTTACATTACTTTAATTAGTAGTTATGTTTTAATTATTATTTACTTAGTGAATAATTAGTATTTAAATATTTTATTAAAGAAAATAATAAAAAATAAAATGCTATTTATTAAGTAATATAATTTGTGGACTTAATTAAAATGTTTAATACTAATTATTCACTAAATAAATACTAATGAAATTAAATAAATAAGGCTATGATATTATTTAATTACTTAAAGAAAATTTGAAAAAAACAGCTAAAGACACTAAGTTTATATATATATATATATATATATTTTAAAAACCTCTCCCGACGAATATTTGCCGGATAAGACCTCTTTCGACGAAATTTCGTCCACAGAGATAATTTTCATCGGGAGAGGTCTAATCCATCAAATATTTGCCGGCATAGACCTGCTGTCGGGAGAGGTTTTTTGTTTTTTTTGTTTTAATTTTTAAAAATATAAAATTAGTTTCTTTACTTGTGTTGTTTGGCCAACTTCTTTAATTTAATATATGTAATTAATTAATATCTTAGTCTTTTTTAATTAGTAATTATTTTTTCATTATTTTTTCTTTAGTGAATATTTAAATATTACTGATTTCATAATTGACTTAATAAATAGTAATTAATTATTTTGTGGACTTTTTTTTTCAATATTATATAATAATTAAAACATAATATGTTTAAAGGGTATAGCCGCATGGCTATAATGTTTAAATATTCGAATATATATAAGGAAATATGACAAAGGGAACTTAAAAAGATAAGCAACCTCTTTGTATCACTTCTCAAACACATTCAACACACAAACAAGGAACAAAGCTAGAAATACATACCGTGTCTAATTGATTCATTATCTCGAGGCTCAACTTTCCTACAGAGAAATCCATATTTTTAATGTTGATTTAAAGAGTATGGCCGCATGGCTATACGCTATATAAGATTTTAAAGGTATAGCAACGCGGCTATACGATACTCAGTTAAACAAACTGAACTCTATATGTTTTATGTATGTGCAGCGGCACATCTGCTCGCTGAATGGTTAAACGGCAATGGGTTGCCGTTGAGCTTCAATCCTGATTTCCTCCTTCATTTTTCTTATAAAGTCTTCGAATTTTTTATTGAGTTCATCTATTCTATACTGGTAGTGGCTAACACGATTTGTTTCCAGCTCTGGCATGTCCATCTCTTCTTCTCGTTGCTTTATCAAAGATTCACTTCCTCCTCCTTTTTCTTCTGCGCTAAAAGCTTGAGGTATTTCTTCTGCCTGCAACAGAGCCCCATTTTTATGTTCTTCCTGTTGTCCATCTCCGTCGTCATCTTCTTCTTCTTCTTGTATAGTTGGCGATTCCCCTTCATCTTCACCAGCAACATAAGCGATGGCGTCATGATCCAGAGACTCATCGTTGGATTCATGATTATTAATAGAGGTGGTGCTGCAACTTGAACTGCAAAGTCTAGGACTAGGCATAGAGATTGCTTAGTTTATGGGTCCACCTCCACCTTACCTATATTTATGTAAATAGTATATAGTATGGGGCAGCAACATTTTCTATATGGTCATATTGTTTAAATATAATGTAAGCTTGGTGAGGTAGGATTACGAATATAATCATCATCACGGATTCACGGAACGGATGATCAAGTGACATAAATTCATTGGACAGCTAGCTTTTAAAAAGGAGATAGCTATATAGATAATAGACAGAGAAGTTTGACCAGGATCTTCTTGACAAAGCACCTTAATTTGCAAGAATAATCATGCCTTCCAATTACGGGTTCATCAAAACATCCCCCATTTAATTAGGAAATGGAAATACATTGCGCTTGGCAATGGCATTATGGCAAGCCGATGTTAATGAGGAAACTGACATTATTAATTGATTAATTATTGTATAATTTGAGGAGCCAATCTCTCGCACTCAAATGCATGTACAGAGTACAGACATGATGTATTCACTTCACTTGTACATCTGTTAATTGGTTGGTCACAGCAAAAATAAGTGAGGAAGGTGTTGAATTATAAGCCTTAAGCTGACTTAAGAGTTAGTTAATCAGTTTTTTCCTTTCATCCTTGTTTTTTGACAAGTGTATGTTCTCCATTGGTTACCTAAGTGAACGGCTGAGATCATCTTGTGATGTAAGAAATCCAGCTACTGTGCATAACAGATATACTCCTCACACTATGTGTGTGAGGTTATTAGAGAGAAAATATGATGAAATGAAATCTCTGCTGCTACACGTATAGCAGACAGATTCTCTGCTAAATTTTTCTGCTTCTTCTTCCACTTAATTTTTCCTTCTGCAAAATCTGAATACACTAACATGGCCTCAGAGCCAGGTTGGATTGTCTAAAGAGCTGGGCGTTCAATCTGTGAAATAAGAGGATATCATCGGGAAATTTGAGTTTTCTTCTCAATCTGAAAGCAACTCGTTTTTGGAAGAATCAGAGATCAACCATGGCTGGATCTGGAAGCTCAGATGTGAGAACTCCAATTTTCTCTGGTGAAAATTATGAGTTTTGGAAGATTAAGATGGTGACCATATTCAAATCATATGGGCTTTGGAATCTGGTAGAGAAGGGAATTTCAGTTTCAGATTCGAAGAAGAAGGAGAAGGCAACTGAGGAGACTTCAGAGGAAGAAGATGATGAGAAAACAGCTGCAATCCTCATGAAGGATGCAAAGGCTCTGGGTATTATCCAAAATGCAGTCTCAGATCAGATTTTTCCATGAATAGCAAATGCAGACTCTGCCAAAGCTGCTTGGGAGCTATTGCATGGAGAATTTCATGGTGGAGATCATGTTAGATCGGTAAAACTTCAAAATCTTAGACGTGAATTTGAATATACTAGGATGCATGATAGTGAGTCATTATCTACTTATCTTACTAGACTGAATGATCTGATTAATCAAATGAAAACATATGGTGAAGTGCTCTCGAATGAGAGGCTTGTGCAAAAGGTTTTGATTAGTCTTAGCAAGGTTTATGACCCCATTTGTTTAGTGATTGAAAACACTAAGAGTCTAGAGACTGTGGAGTTGCAAGAGGTAATTGCTATTCTGAAAAGTCAAGAGCAGCGATTTGAGTTACACAATGCAGATGCAACTGAGAAAGCTTTTGCCTCATTCACAGTGAGTTCAAAAGGTCAGAATAAAAATGCAACTAATTCTGGTCCATCCAAGGCTCAGAAAAATTGGAATCCTAAAGGCAAACCTTGGGAATCGAAAGGCAAGCCTCAATGGAATAATTCTGCACAGACTCACAGCTCATCTACAGGTCAAGAAGCTGTAAAACCCCATTGCAAGGTGTGCTCCAAGTATCACTTTGGAGAATGCAGGTATAAAGGCAAGCCAAAGTGTTACAACTGTGACAGGTTTGGTCACTTGGCTAGAGAGTGCATTGCAGAGAAGGCTGTGCAAAAGGCAAACTGTGCAAGTCAAAAGGAGGTGGCTGGAAACCTGTTTTATGCAAACTGCACTACCACTGAGTCAAAACCGAATGGGGATTGGTATATTGACAGTGGCTGTAGCAATCATATGACAGGAAATGTGGATTTGCTTGTTGACATAAGGACAAATGTGGCTGGAAAGGTGCAGATGCCAACTGGTGCTCTTGTGAATGTGGCTGGCATGGGTTCACTAGTTATTGACACAACAAATGGAAGAAAATACATTAGGGAAGTAATGTATCTTCCGGGCTTGAAAGAGAATCTGTTAAGTGTTGGACAAATGGATGAGCATGGATATTGTTGGTGTTTGGAGATGGAATGTGCAAGGTGTTTGAAAGCTCCTCAATGAACAGCCTCATTATCAAAGTCCAAATGATGAAAAACAGATGCTATCCCCTGTCATTCCTAGCTGAGAATCAACTGCTCATGAAGGCTAGTATTACACATAGCACATGGATTTGGCACAAAAGGCTAGGACACCTACACTTTAGAGGACTGAAACAGTTGAGAGACAAAGATATGGTACATGGATTACCTCAATTGGAAGAGCAAAATGTTGTGTGTGAAGGCTGCCAGTTTGGAAAACAACACAGGGATGTTTTTCCAAATAATCAAGCTCAAAGAGCAATCTCTCCACTTGAGTTAGTCCACACTGATCTTTGTGGGCCTATGAAAACTGAATCTGTGGCAGGAAATAAATACTTCATGTTGATCATTGACGACTGTACAAGGATGAGTTGGGTGTATTTCTTAAGAAACAAATCTGAAGCTTTCAATTGTTTCAAGAAATTTAAATCTATGATTGAGTTGCAATCTGGACACAAAGTGAAATGCTTGAGAAGTGACAGAGGTGGAGAATTTCTATCTTCTGAGTTCATAAAGTTTTGTGAAGATCATGGGATTCAAAGACAGCTCACAATGGCCTATACTCCTCAGCAAAATGGAGTGGTAGAAAGGAAAAACAGGACTGTGGTTGAAATGGCCAAGTCTATGCTACATGAGAAGGAAATACCTTATTCTCTTTGGGCAGAGGCTGTACACACAGCTGTATATATCTTGAATAGATGCCCTACCAAGGTGTTGAACAATGTCACACCTTTTGAGGCTTATAGTGGAAGAAAGCCAGGCATTGCTCATCTGAAAGTCTTTGGCTCTTTATGTTATGTTCATGTGCCTAATGAACTAAGACATAAACTCGAGCCCAAGAGTGTGAAAGGAGTGTTTGTAGGATATGCAACCTGTGAGAAAGGCTATAGGATCTATGATCCAATCTCCAAGAAGCTCACCTTATCAAGAGACATTATCTTTGATGAAGAGAAGTCTGGAACTGGTCCGAGCACTCAAATAAAGTTGTGACATCATTTCCTGATGAAAGCCTAAGTGAGCATGACTTTGATATAGGAGATGGAGCTGAAAATGTTGCACTAACACCTCAGACTCAAACCCGATATGAAAGGAGTCCATCATTCTTTCAAGCATCATCACAACATATCTCAAGTGACATAAGTAGTGAAGAAAGGAACACTCAAGCTTATGATCACTCACCATTGAAGTGGAGAAAGTTAGATGATGTGCTTGCACAGTGCAATCTCTGCATCATTGAACCAGAAAGATATGCAGAGGCAGCTCAAGACAAGGCATGGCTAAGAGCTATGGAAGATGAACTCCAAATGATTGAGAAAAATGGTACTTGGGAATTGGTTGACAGACCAACTGAGAAACCAGTTATTGGAGTCAAATGGGTTTACAAAACCAAGCTAAACTTGGATGGTTCAATTCAAAAGAACAAGGCAAGGTTAGTTGCAAAAGGATATGCTCAGAAACCTGGACTGGATTACAATGAAACCTATGCTCCTATGGCTAGATTGGACACCATTAGAACCCTCATTGCCTTAGCTGCTCAGAAAGAGTGGAAGCTGTACCAGCTTGATGTAAAATCAGCGTTTCTAAATGGTGTATTGCAAGAAGAGGTCTATATAGACCAACCGGAGGGTTATGTAATCAAAGGCAAGGAAGATAAAGTTTATAGGCTGCACAAGGCTCTTTATGGTTTAAAACAAGCACCTAGAGCTTGGTATGGAGAGATAGACACCTACTTCATGCAATGTGGTTTTAAGAAAAGCCTAAGTGAAGCTACTTTGTATACCAAGTCAAGAGGAGATAGAGATATTCTCATTGTCTCCATTTATGTTGATGACATTGTGTATACAGGGAGCTGCAAAGAATTGTTAGATGAATTCAAGGAAGAGATGATGATGAAATATGAGATGACAGATTTGGGCCTTCTACATCACTTTCTTGGCATGGGGGTGGTTCAAACGAATTCAAGCATATTCATTCATCAAAAGAAATACGCAGGTTCTCTATTGAACAAATTTGGCCTAAATGAGTGCAAGTCTGTAACTACACCTCTTGTAGCAACTGAAAAGCTAGTTAAGGATGACGGAAGTGGAGCAGCAAGTGAAGAGCAATATAGAAGCATCGTAGGTAGCCTCTTGTACCTAACTGCCACCAGACCCGACATTATGTATGCCTCTAGTCTGCTTGCTCGTTTCATGCATTGCCCCACAAATAAGCACTATGGAACTGCTAAACGAGTGCTAAGGTATGTGAAAGGGACTCTAGATTATGGTCTAGAGTATGTAAAAGGAAGGAATGCAATGCTGATTGGCTTCTGTGACAGTGATTGGGGAGGATCAATTGATGACAGCAAAAGCACTTCTGGATATGCATTCTCCTTTGGCAGTGGTGTCTTCTCTTGGGCTTCAGTCAAGCAGAATTGTGTGGCGCTGTCCACAGCAGAGGCAGAATATATAAGTGCATCCGAGGCTACTGCTCAGGCCATTTGGCTTAGATTCGTGTTGGAAGATTTTGGAGAACTTCAGACAGAAGCAACCCCATTGCAGTGTGACAATACATCTGCGATTGCCATTACAAAAAACCCTGTGTTCCATCAGAAGACAAAGCATATTGATCGAAGATATCACTTCATCAAAGATGCACTTCAAGAAGGCATCATTGACTTGGTGTACTGTCCTACTAAGGAACAACTAGCTGACATTTTCACCAAACCTTTGGCTAAGGATCCATTCAATTACCTCAGGAGCATGCTTGGAGTTAAATCAGCTCAAGACTTAAAGGGGAGTGTTGAATTATAAGCCTTAAGCTGACTTAAGAGTTAGTTAATCAGTTTTTTCCTTTTATCCTTGTTTTTTGACAAGTGTATGTTCTCCATTGGTTACCTAAGTGAACGGCTGAGATCATCTTGTGATGTAAGAGATCCAGCTACTGTGCATAACAGATATATTCCTCACACTATGTGTGTGAGGTTATTAGAGAGAAAATATGATGAAATGAAATCTCTGCTGCTACACGTATAGCAGACAGATTCTCTGCTAAATTTTTCTGCTTCTTCTTCCACTTAATTTTTCCTTCTGCAAAATCTGAATACACTAACAGAAGGCAAGGCATACATATAATATATATAATATATTAATTAATTGTCGAAGGAATCATGACCATTGTCTCCCCCTGTGAAGTCTTTGAGTTGGGTTTCTTCAAGCCAGGCAATATTTCAGGCTGGTACTTGGGCATATATATGGTACAAAAATGTCCAAAACAGAACAGTTGTTTGGGTGACCAACATAGACACCCCACTTTCAAATTCATCAGGAGCTCTTTTGATGACTGGTGAACATGGAAACATTGTCCTTCTTGATCCATCTGGAAATGTCACTTGGTCCTCCAATCACACCCAAGTTTCGAGACCAAATGTCCTGCTTTTGGATATAGGCAATCTTGTGATCAAAGAAGGAACCGAAAACAGCCAAACATATTTCTGGCAGAGCTTTGATTATCCCACACACATTCTGCTTCCAGCTATGAAGCTCGGATGGAAGTTGAGCACATGTTTAAACAGGTACTTGACCTCGTGGAAAAGATCAGAGGACCCATCAACAGGGGGCTTTTCTATCAAACTAGATCACCATGGCTTCCCTGAGATTTTCCTTTGGGACATGAGGGTATATGCTGATGGTGGCCAAGATCTCAATGTTCTAGGCGGGGGCTAGGCGGGCTAGGCGGGCTAGGCTGGGGCTAGGCTCGCTAGGCGGTGGCTAGGCGGCCTCTAGGCGGTCTAGGCGGGCGACATGAGGGTATATGCAGATGGTGGCCAAGATCTCTATGTTCTGGGCGGGGGCTAGGCTCGCTAGGCGGGCTAGGCGGGCTCTAGGCGGTCTAGGCGGCCGCTAGGCGGTCTAGGCGGGCGGGCTAGGCGGGCGCTGCGCATAGAAAAACAAAGAAGCCATTTTGGAATCTCCAAGGTCAGGCAAGAGATCACGATGGTGCTATGAGCGAGAGACAGAGAGATGAGGATTGAAGAAGAAGTCTGAGAGAGAAGAGGGGCTGGAAGACGGCTCTTGTTAGAGTTAGGGTTTGAGAAGGAAAATTGCATTTATATGTTGAAGAAAAAAAAAACAAAAGAAGAGATGGGCCCCCGATTACTCCTCATTCTGAAACCCCTTTTATTTTCTCTCTTCTGTATGCAGTGCAGGTGCCAAAGACTGGAAAAGGCAAGAATAAAGGCTCAACCCGTTAACAAGGAAGGATATTTTATCATCAGCAAGATGTTTCTCCATGGGGATTCGGTTATCATTGTTCTTAGGAGTATTAAGTGAGGTGTATTGTATGTAGCTTTGACAATTCCAATAGACTTGTACAAGTAGAGTTCATGCTGAAGATTTATATGCACTGAAGTTGGGAGCTTTTATATGCAGTTTTTTAAATTAAAGCAACTTTCAAGTGTTGTATATTTCTTTGGATTTGTTTGTGAATTTCAGTTTACTCGTATTGAATGCACTTTTTAGTCGTATAGTTCTTGAACAAAACTTAACTCGTTTGAATCTGTTGGTGAATTCAATTGATAGGTATTTGCACTTCACCATATATAAGTGGTAATCTTAATTTACCTTGTGCAAGACTTGGTGAAATTATATAGTGGTAAGGTATCACCACGTAAACTGATGATATACTTTTTAGGAAATGTGTCTTTCTTACTATTATAACCGAAATTATATACTTTCTTTTGAAAGGAACAATGACAATACATTGTCCCATTAACTATACAAAAGATCATATAGCTTTTTTAGGAACAAAAATAATTTAAATTTGACATCTTGTACCTTAATTACATTATTGACACAAAGATTATCTGAAGAAATTCCATATTCTGGGTATCGAAGTGGAATCGTTGGTGACAAATCTAAATCTATAACAACAAAAAATAGTTCTATATATGGGTTAGCTAATGTTGGGACTTTTGTCTGAATCACGAGCGCTCTGCATCATGCAAAAGGTGTCTCAATACAGCAAGCCAAAATCTTGGCGAGCGTTGTCGTCTTAGTCGAGGAGCTATAATATGGATGGTTGGTTGCATCCTAAAATACTCAGACACAAAATTCTTTGGTATAATCGACAAGGATAACATGGTGTTTGGGAAAAATCCTCAATGTTCTGTTCCTAATTCCAAGTTATTTCCAATGGCACTAGATCATTTGTTAAATTGATTAACTTCTGAAATTGTTTCCGGACAATTTGTATGCTACTGGAAGCATTCAGGTGACAAAGAGGAATAAAAGGACAAAAAGGATTGATCTTTATAGTTTCGGTCGAGTGTACTAGAGACTTGTCACATGAAGATTGCAAGAAGTGCCTTCACGTTGCAATAAACGAACTTCAAGGTTATAGTCAAAGAATGAGTGGTGGACGTGCTATTTATGGGAGTTGTTATGTCAGATTGAATTTTACATCTAATACTAAAATTTGTTTCTTTCAAATGGAGGTATTTATGAATAAGTAAAAAGATGTGTTAACCTTAAAAGAGATAAAATATTAAATAAATCTCAACTTCAATAGGACTAAATAAATGGGTGTGTAGGATTACATAAACGGGTAAGTACCTAAATAAACTCCCCAACACCAAATGGACAAAAATTAAGATTTATATATATATATATATATAGACAATCTTAAGGTTTGTTTGATAACCATTTCATTTTCACTATTTTTGAAACTCATACTTTTGAAAAAGAAAAGATATTTGGTAACATATTTGTTTTCCGTTTTCAAAAAAGTGAAATCAAGTTATCAAAATTACCCTTATTTTTAAAACAATTTGAAAGTGGTTTTAGTTTTCAATTTTCGTGCGCGCTCTTTTTCACTCATCAATTTGACATAACCAAGCATGGAATGCATTCGAGGTACCAAAACTCAGTATTTGGGACCACCTTTAACTACTTTAATTACTTTAATTAGTAGTTATGTTTTAATTATTATTTACCTAGTGAATAATTAGTATTTAAATATTTTATCAAAGAAAAAATTTTAAAAAATTAAATACTATTTATTAAGTAATAAAAAAAAAAAAAAAAAAAAATTTATTTTTTTTTTTTTTTTTTTAAAAAAAAAAAAAAAAAAAAAAAAAAAAAAAAAAAAAAAAAAAAAAAAAAAAAAAAAAAAAAAAAAAAAAAAAAAAAAAAAAAAAAAAAAAAAAAAAAAAAAAAAAAAAAAAAAAAAAAAAAAAAAAAAAAAAAAAAAAAAAAAAAAAAAAAAAAAAAAAAAAAAAAAAAAAAAAAAAAAAAAAAAAAAAAAAAAAAAAAAAAAAAAAAAAAAAAAAAAAAAAAAAAAAAAAAAAAAAAAAAAAAAAAAAAAAAAAAAAAAAAAAAAAAAAAAAAAAAAAAAAAAAAAAAAAAAAAAAAAAAAAAAAAAAAAAAAAAGAGGGTAGTTTCTGGGTTTAACTCTGCAATATTTCTGGCAACTTCAATAGGATCAACGTTTGCAAGACTGCACACAGGGGAAAACAAATTATTAGAATACCCTTAATCCTCTGATCATATAATCCTTAACCCAACTACCAAGACTAGAACCAAATATTTATACAGAGAATGCATCTAACATAGTCCCTGAATATGGGCTATGTTTCTTCAAGCACCACAACTACAACCAACACACAGAATACAGATTGCTTTAAAAAATAAACACAAAGAAAATTTGAAAGCATGCAAAAGCATGCCATGTCCTAAAATCCTATGTGCTGTATCAAATACAAAATGCTTCTCTATATGTCTTTAACAGATGAATGCATACCTCCTTCAAGAACTATGCCACTGAAATAAACTCATGAACACAGACAATCTCATTGTTCCAATCAGGTAGGTCCTAAAATGAAGGAGCTGAAAGAAAATATTAAAGTTCGAACTTACGCCCTCATCTTGGAAGGACTTGTTCCATCAGCACCACCAACTATTGATCTTGACATCTGATGTAAATCTATCAGAAATAAATGAACAAAATATAACTTAATCAGAGCTAACTTGGTCTTAGAATGGTAGGTTTTAATAAAATTTCTCAAGATGCAACACAAATGTTTCAGAAATGAGTACAGCTATGTTTAACATCAGATATAGCAGATGAGGATAATTATAAATGACACACAAATTAAGTGTTATGTTTGTTTTAGGTGAACCTGGAGATGCTACTAAGGTTGAATCCCATACTCAAACTCATACAGATCGGACTATGGAGATCTAACAAGACATGTTAGCATTGAAATTGAATGAAAATATGGAAAAATGGGTACAAGTACTCAACCAATGGATCTCCCTGTCCCCATCCATTTCATGTTCATGCATTCTTTAGCTCATGTCCTGAAGATAACACATAAAACAACAAAAGTGGATACTCACAGAATGTAAACAAAAAAATACATATATTTTTTTTTAGAAGCAAACATACAATTTATGTATTGTACATGTACATCTATATTATTCATGTTTAATACACAAGTTTTTTTACAAAATTTTCAATAATACACAAAATTTTCACATATTATTGAATAAAAACAATGCATATATTAAAATATTACATAGTTGCCGAATTTTTTAGTTGTAACTTGCTAAAAAAATTTCGAATAAATCACGTACGTATTTTTCCCATTCCGTATTTTACTAACTATGAAAGAATGTGAGAGGCTAAGATTATTTCTTGTTGTAACAATAATGCAAGACAGTGAACTTTCGAAATCTCTTTGCTAGCCCAGAACAACAATTTCAAACGAAGATGTATGAGTATAGTTTAATATAATATATATATAGAACAAGAGATTTGGCGAAATTAGCTCTTCAGTATCGGTCATCAATGCACAAACATCCATAACCCTCAAAGAAGGGACCAACACATTTAGAGAGCCCCCGCGCATCCCCTTGATCATAATTTCATTAATATAAAAGAAACATATAAAGAAAACACGTACAGCAAGGGGGACCAAACCAAAACCCTGCAAAAAAGAAAGAGTGACATATAGGCACAGCAACATACGGACCCAAGAAACCAAAACTCTGAAGGAGTAAACAAAAAGAGACTAAGTAAAACGATAACTGGGCATGCCCAGCTGGTCCCGACGAAAAGACATTTGAAGGTGCAATGTCCCACCACGTGAAACCAGAGCCCTGAACATCGTGATTTGCCAAAATGTCAACTCCATGATTACCCTTGCGAAATATATGAGAAATCTTAAACAACATGTACTGGAGACGATGCAAGCAATTCTGCCAATCAAATCGCAAATGCCAAGGGACCAAATGAGGAGAGCGAAAGAATTGAGTAACTAATAACGAATCAGTTTCAATCCAAACATTATGCCAAGCATGAAGCCAAGCAAGCTTAATGGCCTTGATGACATCTAAAACTTCAACATGTACTGCACTTGGGACATCTAAATTGGAGCAAAATGCCCTAAGTACACAACCATGATAATCTCGAAACACACCACCACTACCTACTTTACCAAAGTCACTTTTGCGAGCGCCATTAGTATTAATTTTGACCGAACCAAAGCAAGGGAGATGCCACGTAACCTCAATAATTTTGGGATTAGGGCTGGGTCTACAGCGCACCCCAAAGGAATGAATAGTACACAAGTCACACACATTGTTCGACATATGACCCTTGGCCAAAGTACTAGAGGCACGCACATGATAATGGTACAACAAGCAAAATAACTGTAGAAAAATTTTAAAAAAATTAAATACTATTTATTAAGTAATATAATTTGTAAAGTTAATTAAAATAATTAATACTAATTATTCACTAAAGAAATAATAATTAAAATGTAATTACTAATGAAAGTAATTATATAAGGCTAAGTAAGATATGATTTAATTAATAAAAAGAAAGTTTTTTTTTAACAAAAAAAAAATCTATTGACTTCAAGAAACTAAGTATATTATTTCTTTTTAAAATAAACCTCTTCCGAAGAAATTTTTTCGGGAGAGGTCTAATCCGGCAAATATAAATTCATATTTTTATTGTTGGTGCAATGTGGAATTATCTTTAAAGGATAGAATATTTCAACAGTATAGTTGTAGGGCTATACTCTACAAATAAAATATTTCAATAGTATAGTCGAGCGGCAATACTTGATAAATAGAAATTTTCAATAGTATATAGCAGCTGGGCGATACTCTCTAAATAGAAATTTCAAACGTATAGCCGCCCGGCTATACCGGTAAATAGAAATTTCGAACGTATAGCTGCGCGGCTATACGCTGTAAATAGAGTATTTCAATAAATTTTCAAAGTATAGCCGACCGGCTATACTATGTAAATAGAGTATTTCAATTAATATTTCAACTGTATATGCTTAACCACAAAGACATAATAACCTTCACTCCATCATACCATCTTCATTACTAAATTTATTCAATTATAAAATTACTAAGCTATTCCAAATATGATTCATTCCACCCACTCCCAAGCTCATTCACGTTTGTTTACATTAACCCAAGCAAATCCTGGACTGAAACATCCTGTTCATATACTTGAAGAAGTGTTGGCACTGCACTAACCTGAGAGAAGATGAAATCCATTCCCTAAGGGTTCGAGCATTCAACATAGTTTCGGCTGTTGTAAAGGTCTTCGAAACTACCACAAGTGCAAATATCAAAAGAATATGAATGAACGATAAGAAACCCCACGTAGAGCTTAGATTACAAAAGTCAATATGTAGTGATATAACTAAACTTAATGCTTATCAAGGGTAGTTTCTGGGTTTAACTCTGCAATATTTCGGGCAACTTCAAGCACCACAACTACAACCAACACACAGAATACAGATGGTGGCCAAGATCTCTACGTTCTAGGCGGGGCTAGGCGGGCTAGGCTGGGGCAAGGGTCGCTAGGCGGTCTAGGCGGGCGACATGAGGGTATATGCAGATGGTGGCCAAGATCTCTGTGTTCTGGGCGGGGGCTAGGCGGGCTAGGTTGGGGCTAGGCGGTCACTAGGCGGGCTAGGCGGCTCTAGGCGTCTAGGCGGTCTAGGCGGGGGCTAGGCGGTCTAGGCGGGCGGTCTAGGCGGGCGCTGCGCATAGAAAAAAAAAACGCCATTTTGGAATCTCCAAGGTCAGGGAAGAGATCACGATGGTGAGACAGAGAGATGAGGATTGAAGAAGAAGTCTGAGCGAGAGAGAGGGGCTGGAAGACGGCTCTTGTTAGAGTTAGGGTTTGAGAAGGAAAATTGCATTTATATGTTGAAGGAAAAAAAAAAACCAAAAGAAGAGATGGGCCCCCGATTACTCCTCATTCTTAAACCCCTTTTATTTTTCTCTCTTGTGTTTTGTTCCACTATTCGGTTCTGTCTTCTTTTATGTTGGTTGGTAGATCTTCATCAATCATCAAAGTTCTTTTTTCTCGTGATATTTGTGTGATCTTTTTTTTTCTTTTTTCTTTTTTTCTTTTGTGTGTGTGTGTGTGTGTGTGTGTGTGTGTATGCAGTGCAGGTGCCAAAGACTGGAAACGGCAAGAAAAAAGGCTCAACCCCTTAACAAGGAAGGATAGATTATCATCAGCAAGATGTTTCTCCGTGGGGATTCAGTTATCATTGTTCTTAGGAGTATTAAGTGAGGTGTGTTGTATGTAGCTTTGAATAATTATACAGAGAATGCATCTAACATAGTCCCTGAATATGGGCTATGTTTCTTCAAGCACCACAACTACAACCAACAAACAGAATACAGATTGCTTTAAAAAATAAACACAAAGAAAATTTGAAAGCATGCAAAAGCATGCCGTGTCCTAAAATCCTATGTGCTGTATCAAATACAAAATGCTTCTCTATATGTCTTTAACAGATGAATGCATACCTCCTTCAAGAACTATGCCACTGAAATAAACTCATGAACACAGACAATCTCGTTGTTCCAATCAGGTAGGTCCTAAAATGAAGGAGCTGAAAGAAAATATTAAAGTTCGAACTTACGCCCTCATCTTGGAAGGACTTGTTCCATCAGCACCACCAACTATTGATCTTGACATCTGATGTAAATCTATCAGAAATAAATGAACAAAATATAACTTAATCAGAGCTAACTTGGTCTTAGAATGGTAGGTTTTAATAAAATTTCTCAAGATGCAACACAAATGTTTCAGAAATGAGTACAGCTATGTTTAACATCAGATATAGCAGATGAGGATAATTATAAATGACACACAAATTAAGTGTTATGTTTGTTTTAGGTGAACCTGGAGATGCTACTAAGGTTGAATCCCATACTCAAACTCATACAGATCGGACTATGGAGATCTAACAAGACATGTTAGCATTGAAATTGAATGAAAATATGGAAAAATGGGTACAAGTACTCAACCAATGGATTTCCCTGTCCCCATCCGTTTCATGTTCATGCATTCTTTAGCTCATGTCCTGAAGATAACACATAAAACAACAAAAGTGGATACTCACGGAATGTAAACAAGTAGCTCAAGATCACCCTCATTGCTCTCCAAGTGTTCCTGTGGCAGAAAGTAGGATCAGATGGGCTTCATATGACTAGTAATTGGAACATAAATTAAAACCAAAATATATGCATGGTAAACCTGAACTGAATCTCAACCAATGATTCAGTAATTCCTTGGCCGAATATGAGGGTTTTTCCTCTTCTACAGCAACTGTATTATCTTGCATCTCTCTGGGAGTTTTTGATTTACTCTTCTTGCCCATCTTATGGATCCAAAAGCTGCATTTCACCCAGATTACATTACTGAGAATTGACAAAAATGTATTTGCAGAGATGCTAGACTCGCCAGGAAAAAAGAAATCTGAAGGAGAAAAAAAAAGCCATTCAAGTTTTTGAAAAATCGGGCGCCTATGCAGGCTAGGTGGTTTTTTTTTCTCTAGAGTTGATGCCATTTTGGAGTTAGCATCAAATGGCATTCGTTTTCTCTGTAAATGGCCACAGGACCTTAATTCTTGTTGAGTGGTATAGAATGACATGCTTTATAATTCTTTCCTATTAGATTTCTCCTCTCTTTCTTTCGAAATTGAAATCGGAGTGATAGTTGGTCATTTGATTCTGATGATATTGGTTGAATGCAAGCAACTCCCAAGGTTCACCCTAATTTACGGAAACCAAGGAGTGGCTTAGACCCGATGAACAATGACCTTCCCAGCACCAACCTTGAAGACTCTATATCCTGCTTTGATTTTTCCAAGAATGATTCATGTCTCATATCAGCAACAGGAGGGATGATCTCCATTTTTGACATGATGAAAACGTTTAAGGTAAACCCAACACAAATAGTATTCTTGAAATTTTCTTTTCCCAGCCAAAACTTCCCAAATCTTGTTTGTCAATATGCTTAGGTTCTGTTTGCAAATTTCTCATGATCTAACTCATTGTACTCATACAAATCTGTTGCGTAAAAATGCAGACGACGAAGAAAGTCATGCCACCGCCACTGCGGCAACATGTCTTGCTTTTCACCCCCGAGATGACAGTATAGTTGCCATTGGCATGGACAATTCCACCATTGTAATATATACAATCTCCACTCAGACGAGGTAGTTTGTTCGTTCTTAAAAAAAAAAAAAAAAAAAAAAACAAAATCATGCTCAATGTTGTGATGAATCAAACCCGGAAAGAGTCATTGCCTTGATTTATATATTTTGCGGGTTACAAGGAAGCTTGAGGGCCACGCCAAAAGGGTCACTAATAGCCTTGCCTTCTCGAACACACTGAATGTACTAGTTTCTTCTGGTGCTGATGCACATTGGAAACTACAATATTACTTTCAGACATGGCTTCTACTCTAATGTGACTTCTGTTATTTAACGATCAACGTCGTTTTGTCCCTGCGGATTTATGCGTGGGGTGCTACTGGGTGTGAAAAACACAGAAGCAAATTGTTGCAGATTCCAGATGGGAAGGAGTTGAAATCATTGTCATATACTTACATCCAAATTCACGAGAATGAGCTGCACCTCATTGCCATAAACAAGACTCACCTTGCAGTGTATGAAGTGAGAGAACTAGCATGTGTTTAGGGGGAGGGGAGGCTACCCCATCCCAAGGTCAGGGCATACCAAGGCCTCTTTGAGGAACTATTTGGCTTTTTTAATTCTTCACTTTGGGATTAAAAACACAAGGCGCCCAAGAAGGGATCAGGCCACTTCAATGATTTTATTTTTTTTTTTTTTTTTTTTTTTTTATATAAAGATGTAGTCACCGCCCCTTCACAAGTATATGATACTAACCTATACAAATTGTGTATCAATTTTTACTTTGCCTTGCATTGCAAATGCTCAAAAAGAGCCTGCATATTTACCATTGATTTCAAGAAAGATAATTAAGGTTCTTTTTGAAAATTCTGCAAGAGCTAAGTATTCTTCAAGTGGTCACACTATCTCTAGGAGGTTTTCCCTTAGGAATGACCGTCCGGTAGTTGTGGCATCACAAATGTAAAACAGAGATTAGAGGCCTGCCACCTTTTTGGCTTTGACCGGCAATATTATCATCTCCTGATTCACTTTTATATGTGTTGTTGCATAAGGAACCTGTTGTGTCAAACTTTTCACATGGGCACTTTACCATCCTCGCCGAAACAAAACTGAGCATGGCACATCATTGTGCTGTGGTGTTTTTGTATGCCTTGCAAATTCTCCTTTGCATAGAGAAAACGAACCATCAACGTAACCAGCAAAGGAGATAAAAGATCAAGAGTCCTGAAAATTCCAAGAAATGGATCTCCTTGTAGAAAGGTCCTACTGCTGAAGCTGCAAAATGCATACATCATGTGATTAACTTGCATATCAGATGTAAATATCAAATAATTTGGCATGCAAAGCAAGGCAAAAAGTAAATGAAATCAGCAGAAGACAAGGTCCATGGATGCATCTAACGAAACATTAGCTTATTTGTTTTGGTTGTCAAATGGCTACAGCATTCCTAAGTTATTACATACATTTGGCTCTTTACATATCAGGTCAGTATTAAAATTCCATTACTGATTTCGGTTCATCATCATATCACATTAGTCCCACCAGTTTTAACTCAAAGTTTATTCTCAAGTCTCCACTAAGGTTGCACCAAATTTCAGTTTGTATATTTGTTTATCCAAAAGGATCCCAAATCTGCTTCAAATATTTGTTTTGTAGACAAGTTCATATAATTCCAAATGTATATACTTGTATAAAATACCTATGTAATTTGAATATGAACTGTATGCCATACGACTAATTGCATTGAAAAGCCAATCAAAGGATTTAGTAGAAATAACCAGATTCAAAATTAAATCTTGCTAAACCTCAAACAGTATTTCTTTGGTCTATAGGATTAACTTCTCGTAACCGGCATTAGTAAAGCAGGGAAATTTCTACTCTTATCAAACTCATGAGATCAGAAGTCACATAAACTGACTACCAACACCTCAACTACAGAGGGACCTATTTTCAATTAAGAAAAACCTATATTGCCAAAAGACAAAATTATGAATAAAGACATGCTTAATATTTTATTAACACATCAAAGAATCATTATAAACTCTATCTCTGAGCCTGCATTCTATATGAATAACTAACACTGCCAAAACCATA